GGTAATACAAGTTATACAAAGAAAATATATGTATCAGCTTCCTTCAAAAAACCTACTTTTTGAAAATTTTGAAAAACTTTTTTTGTCAGTGTTCTCTTGACAGGTAAATTATTTTTTCTAAAGTCAAACAATGAGACAATACCCTCAACCATTGTCCAAAATGCCTTTCTGTATTTTTCCAACAACAAGCTATTTGCATGTAATAAACACAAAATTAAGTTTCTTATCCAATAAAGGCTTTTTATTGTTTTCTTTTCCACATTTATTGAGTCCCTTGGATTGATCTTTGCTGTTTACTCTGATGAATCCCACACCCAAATAGCACCAACACATTAATTAAGCTACCTCTGAGAACTTTTTGTTTTATTTTGGATTAATATGTTATTCCTTTAAAATAAGTTTATTTTGCTTACCCCTTATGTTGACTTGATATTTCTTAAAACAAGACAATATTTTTGCTTGTCAAGAAATTGCTTTTTGAATTTTTAGATATTTTGACTAAAAAACTAAATGTAGAAAAGCATTTCTGTAGTGTAAATAATGGCATAATGTTAATTTTGCGTGAACTATCCCTTTAAGCGATGCAGTAAATACTGCGCTAGCATGTACCCTGACCATCCCACCATAAGCACCTCTTATGTAAGGACGCTCTAGTGTTTCAATGTGGTATGTGGACCACTGAAAGGCTCAGGTATCAGGTTTTACTAGGGTAATTATTCATTATATACAACTCTAAATTTTTGAATGTGTGGGCATATATATATATATATATATATATATATATATATATATATATATATATATATATATATATATATATATATATATATATATATACACACAGTTGAAGTCAGAATTATTAGCCCCCCTTTAATTTCTTTTTATATTTCCTAAATGATGTTTAACAGAGCAAGGAAATTTTCACAGTATGTCTGATAATATTTTGTTTTCTGAAGAAGTCTTATTTGTTTTATTTCACTTAGATTAAAAGCAGCTTTTAATTTATTAAAACCCATTTAAAGGTCAATATTATTAGCCCCTTTAAGCTGTATATTTTTCGACAGTCTACAGAACAAACCATCATTATATAATAACTTGCCTAATTACACTAACCTGCCTAGCTAACCTAATTAACCTCGTTAAGCCTTTAAATGTCACTTTAAGCTGTATAGAAGTGTCTTAAAAAAATCTAGTAAAATATTATTTACTGTCATCATGGTAAAGATAAAATAAATCAGTTATTACAAATAAGTTATTAAAACTATTATTTTTAGAAATGTGCTGAAAAAATCTCTTTGTCAAACAGAAATTGGGGAAAAAACGGGAGCTAATAATTAATAATTCTGACTTCAAATATATGCAGCTAATAATCTGTAGTTTCTGTGATTAAAAAGGTTGCTCTGCACTGATTAAACCAGTTATCTCCTGTCAATCCAAAGAGGGTGGGAAAAAACATCTAATCTGTGCTGCATTCTGGACTGCTAATATTCTGCATGTCAGAACTTCTGGTAAACCTTCAATTGCTTAAAGAACAACAGGGCAAGTGATCTGACAAGTTTGTCAAAGTCAGTCAATGTTAATATGATTTAATCTATTCACCAGTAATAGCAGATATCATTCTGGATTACCAGCTATCTGCTCAAATTTAAAACATGATGTATTTAAAGAAACAGTTTAGAGTCATGAATATGATTGTCATTTTAAATAATTGTTTAAATCATTAAACTCTTTTCCAATATCATTCAAGACGCTCATTTTTACCCATTAGTGAATTTGTCCGTGAAAGTTTGCATGTTTTCACTCTCATGGTGGCCATGAAAGACTTTTATATACATCAAGTTATTTGGATCATATCATTTTAGGGGGGTTAAAAATGTGCAACAAGTCATCAGTGCAGGTTCAACGAAAGAAGGAATTCAGCCAAATGTGCCAATGTGTGGGTGTGGATGTCACTCTGAGGATTTCAAGATTTACGTACACTCCTGTCTGCAGACGCTGATTGATGACGAAGTATTATTACTAGGATATTATGACGCACATAGATAACAAGGCATTTGTGAAGATTTATTGTAAGATTTATGTTGTTACCATGTAACTCTTTATAGATACTCCAAATTGGAAATAACAGCTCTATAGCACTACAATAATGCAATGAGAAAAAGTTCATTCAAATAGAATTTTTAATCTTTAAAAACACATTAGTCAATATACATTGTAAAAAATCTATGAACAATTAGTCATATGTTTTTAGTTCATTGTAACTTAATAAACTAAGGTAATCATGTCCTAACTTAATTTTATAAGTTATGCAAGCAGTTTAAAGTCAATTTTACATAAACTAAGTTCAATGGACTCATAAGGTTATTTTGATTCAGCTTAGAAATGTAAGGCAACCAGAATGTTTTTACAGTGTAGAATTTACCATCAGTTCAGAGTGTTATTGACAGGAATGAACTATTTTTTCTTTCATAATAATGATAGCTAGCTAGTTATACACAGAGGCAACCTTAAAATTGAAATTCTTTCATCATTTTCTCACCCACCACCTGTTTTAAACCTATTGAGATTTTTTTCTTGTGTTGAACACAAAATAAGATATGTTGAAGAATGTTGGAAACCAAAAGTTAAAGAAACAAAAATGACCTAAAAATGAAAATGTACTCACATTTATGCACCTTAAACCTTTATGAGTTTCCTCTTCTAGCAGGAAGGAAGTCAATGGTTACAAGTTTTCAGCTTTCTTCAAAATATAGGCAGCCAGGGGGTTTCAGGTGGTTCGAAAGACCTCCAACACCACCAACCCCGCCCCCCCACTGACAAAGTCCAGAATTTGGCCCCTATATGAGTTATTTGTCCCATTTTTGACACACTTTAAAACCCAAAAAGTTAAGGTAACTCAAACCATTTGAGGAAACAGATTGCTACAAATGATTTAAGTTCAAAAACTAATCAGTACTGTGAACTTAATCCATTTGAGTACACAAAGCAATTTGAGCACAGTAAAACTAAATAAGTGAAGAGAACTCAAACCAACTGAGTATTGTAAAACTCAATAAGTTAAGGCAACTCATACCGTTTGAGGAAACCGATTGCAACAAACCATTCGAGTTAAAAAAACAAATCTATAAGACTACTGTGAACTTACTCCATTTAAATTAAAGTAATGAGGTATTTAAATAACTCTTAACTTTCAACACTGGGTTTAAAACTCTTTTCAAAGGAGAAGAATTAACTTGGGTTTTACAGTCCAGTATGCCATCATAAATTGTGAAAATAACCGATAGAACAAGTCTTTAAAACTAATTTAATTTTTAATTATTCAAATTTACTAAATCTGACTGAAAAAAAATGAGCTGGCCAGTTTGTTATTTACCTACAGGTCACAGTTTTGTTATGTTTTTAGTTGGTTTTCACAAAGTTTTAACAGATTTCTAATATTTTTATGATGCATGATAATAAACTTGTGTTTTAAAAACTTTTACACTTTCAAAACTATTTAAAATGTTTAATTTATAATTCCAACCTCATAACATTTAAAAAAAAACTGTAATAACTTTTAAATGCACAATAAAACAGTTTAGGCGACGCAGTGGCACAGTAGGTAGTGCTGTCGCCTCACAGCAAGAAGGTCGCTGGGTCGCTGGTTCGATCCTTGGCTCAGTTGACGTTTCTGCGTGGAGTTTGCATGTTCTCCCTGCGTTTGCGTGGGTTTCCTTCGGTGCTCCGGTTTCCCCCACAATCCAAAGACATGCGGTACAGGTGAATTGGGTAGACTAAATTGTCCGTAGTGTATGAGTGTGTGTGTGTGTGTGTGTGAATGTGTGTGTGGATGTTTCCCAGAGATGGGATGCGGCTGGAAGGGCATCCGCTGCGTAAAAAAATGTGCTGGATAAGTTGGCGGTTCATTCCGCTGTGGCGACCCCGCATTCATAAAGGGACTAAGCCGACAAGAAAATGAATGAATGAATAAAACAGTTTAATTGCACATTTTTATATAAACACTGTGGTAAAATAGTATGTTAAGCAATTTTGGAAATATTTTTGTTGCATCAAAAAGTGTGGTTATGATCACCATGCGCCAAGCCGATGCAGCAAAGATTATTGCTTTAAATATCACTAAAATGCAGTATTTGAACCTCACAATTTAATAGAAATTGAGAAGAATAACTGCAAAAAGCTCCACTTTTTGAGCAAAAAGGACCATCCCGTTCAATACGCTGACTACGGGCCTGAAAAACATATATTTTTGTGTTCAAAAGAAGAAACTTGGACAGATTTGGAATAAGTAAAGTGTGAGTAAATGACAACAGAACTGTAAATTTGAATGTCTTTCCTGTGCATCTCCTATACATTTCTGGTCTATATTACTGATTTCCAACATTCTTCAAAATATCTTCTTTTGTGTTTAACAGAAAAAAAACATGACAGAAACTTATTAGTTTGCAAGTACCCGAGGGAGAGTAAATGTGGAGTAATTGTTTTAGGTAAACAAACCCTTTAACTATTGCTACAGATGGAAATTGTAAGTGCTACCAACACTTTTATTGCAAGGCACACACACAAACACACACATTATGCAACAAGAACAATGTTTCTTTGATTCAGTCTCTCATGTGACTGCTGTGTTTGAACCACAAACTGATGGCTTTGTCTGCATAAATGACAACATACTTGAATTAATCATATATAGGCATCACATGTCTGACAATGAGTAATCTGGAAAAGAGTGAATTACATAAACATGGCTTCTTATTGCAAGCATAAAAGCCAATATGCGTAGTCATCACTTCCCCCTGATGAGGGGTCGAAGGAGCAACAGACATGAATGCTTGAGAGGGGAGGGGGAAAATTAAAAACAGACTGCATGACTAAGACTGAACCTGGGAAGGCCGTGCATTGAGTACTGATAAAGAGAGAAGAGAAAGAGGGGGAGTGCATGCTGTTTAATGAGGTAAAGGGGTGGAGAGCTTTAAAGAGAGCGAGGAGAGAGACTGAACTGCAAGGACTTTCACTTTCAGAGTGCAAACAGCCTCCACACTGTCTCTGCTCCTTCAGGACGGATCAAATGTTTTGCTCTCAAGTCTGCCAGCTAGAAACCAAAGCCTCCAAACAAGGTGGCTGGAAAGGAAGGAAAGCACGAGGAGTAAAAGAAACAGGAAACTGAAATCCCATAGGAAACAGAGGAGTAGCTTGGTATCCATCAGAATTCTTTTTTTTTTTTTCCATCTGAAGATTGGGAATTTCCAAATGTCTGACTGGGATTGAGCCAGTGGGACTGAAAGGAGAGCAGCTGTCAATGAGGAACTGGGGAGAAAGTGCAGCAGTTGGAGGAAAAGGAGACGTGGGTTAGGATTTACTGCTGGGAAAGCCACCGAGATTGAGTTTCTTTCATAACTTTGGTGAAGCAATCTGTCGTTCAGAAGGACTCGGTTCTGAAGAACATGGGGAATATGGCCCACATTGGCCGGTAGAAGCATGTCACCAACAGGTAACGCGATTCGCGCGCTTTACTGACGATTAAATGATGTGCACGTTAAAATTGATATTTTATCAGGCTCTGCGTGTGGTGTTTGAGATATTTAATGTATTAAATGATTGTCTGGTTTGATAATTTTCGGGCGTTTAACGCTCTGGTGCACACGTTGTTTACCTTTGCCTTTCAGTGCTGTTACTTCTATCAATATTGACTGTTCAAGGAAGTGGGTGCGATGATTTTATGAAGACGACGATCAGAAATCTGCAGGACTCCGTAAACATTGAAAGAACGAGCGGATTCGTGAGTTTCGCATTTTTAATAATGCCTATTTGCTTGCTGGAAAGTTCGCAGTTGGTTTTATCTGTCTCGTGTTGATCCACTGACCTTTTTGTTGCTCTGTCGTTTTGATGATCGATGAGAAGCACATGCATCGACAGTTTAAGCTTTGGCTTTGTTAAAGGATGTGTAATTTGACGTTTTAATATATATTCTGCAGCCAGAAGTGTTCCCGAAGAACTACGCCGTGTCTCACTATTTCAACGACAGCGCGCTGTGCAATGAGCCGGTAAGATGACAGTTCAACAAGGGCCAGTCAGTGACGTGATGATGCAAGTTTTATTTGCATGATCTTCTTCTGTGTTTATCAACATGTATTACAAATGCTCTTTAGTTGGATGCAATAATGATAAACGTATTTAGATTTCTGGATTATTGGGGCCTAGTATCAAAAACAGTTGTCAATAAGGATTATTCTGTGTAAACATGTTTATCCAAATTGCAGAAAAAACATTTAATGCAAATCTTAACCCTCCAATCTCAGCACACTAATGAACACAGGCTTATTTGTAAACAAATATGCCTATTAAAGATTTATCTCTCTTCCTTGAAAGTTTATTTACCCCAAAATGCTTAATTAATGTCTTCTAAAGAGGGACATTGCTTATAATAGAGTAAACAAATTTAATAATCCAATGCAAAAAAAGACCGATTGCAATGGCAAACATGTTGTGTTGTGCAGTAGGATGCAAAATTTAATCAAATAGAAAACTTTAAATTTTACTGCACACCACACTGCTTTAAATGCCAACTGCAGACGTATTTGGCTAACAGCCATCGTAAGAGCTGAATGGAGTAAGGACTTAATTATCGACTCTGCAGTTCTCATTTTATATCAGCTAAGTTCACGCTGGCCTAACTTGACTTGATAACATGGTAATTACTTGATAACTTGGTAATCATAGAACATTATTTTTTTTCACATGGCTTTCTTGTAAAATCACTTGGAGCTTCAATGAGATTGTATACTTGGGGCTGGATGCTTGGCCATTTCGTCTCATCCAATATTCATTGGAAGGGTGCTATCGCAAATTGACCTGTCGGATGAACGCCTCTCACTTTAATGTTAATTTTGCTAAATAACTATGTTATCACTGGTTGACAAGCTGTTATAACATGCTGAAAGCATTATGTAAATGATATATATAATAAGTAATCAATATCACTTATCGCTAATACAACAACAAACTATGTACCTTATTGGATATCATTCCCTCGCTTTAAATGCAAGCTCTCCCTTATTTTTCTGCAACCTCGCTGCACGCACATCCTAAATGTTTACAAATCAGTAATTTGCCTATAGTTAAATGTGAATAAAACATAAATTATATGTGATTAAATATAAGTTTGTGTCTCTTCTGAAGACCTGGATTAAGTCTCTCAGTTCTTGTAGATTTATCTTTTGATTTTATAATGGATGTTTTAAAGCACTGGAGTTGTCTCTGCAATTTGATTCAGAATATCTTCATTTGTGTTTTGACGATGAGCACTAAGGGTGACAAAATTAAAGAATATAAGTATTAGAAGATTAATTATAACCCCACATTTTAATCTTTATTTATTAAAGCAAAATATAAGAAATTTAACATTCATTCATTCATTTTCTTGTCGGCTTAGTCCCTTTATTAATATGGGGTCACCACTGCGGAATGAACCGCCAACCAGCAAGTTTTTACGCAGCGGATGCCCTTCCAGCTGCAACCCATCTCTGGGAAACATCCACACGCACATTCACACATACTCTCATACACTACAGACAATTTAGCCTGCCCAATTCACCTGTGCCGTATGTCTTTGGACTGTGGGGGAAACCGGAGCACCCGGAGGAAACCCATGCAAATGCAGGGAGAACATGCAAACTCCACACAGAAACGCCAAGTGAGCGACCTTCTTGCTGTAAGTCGACAGCACTACATACTGCTTCGCCCAGAAATTTAACATATTTTACCCAAAACAATGTGTAAGGGTGTTTTTAAAACTATAGCCTCCTGTATTTGTCACTGAGTCAATTTAAAAATCGTCACTCATCTTGACAGTTTTTATAAACTTTATTAAATACCGAGACCTAATTTTGATTTGTTGTGTCTTTGTGTGTGTGAGTGTAGTGTTGTGTGTTCAGTGCTGCTGCAATCCTGTCACATTCTTGGCTTCAGCTCCTCCAACACCTCAACAGAGTTCACCTCAAATACGGGTTCATCAGCGAGCTGACGCACACATTGGACAACATAGCAAAAGAGGTACTGTCATATATAAATTCTACATACATTTGCATCTCCTTTTTATCCTACCATAATCATAGCATAATTTTAAAATGCTGTAGCAACATATTTACATTATTGATTACTGAGAGATCTTCAATGTTATTTGTCATCTTTTGTAAACAGAAAATCCTAGAACTTCCAGATCTCTCTGCTTTTCCATCTGTTGAGTCATCACCTGAAGGTCTTCTATTCTCAACCTCATCCCTCTTCACGCGATGGCTCAGTTTGGATTGTGCTTTCGGAGAGCATCCCTGCATCTTCCCCACACCAAGTGAAGCTGATCAAGGAAATCCGGCATTAGAGGAGGAAGAGAAAGTGGAGAATGGAGAAACTGTGGATGAGCAGCGGCCTCTGAAAGAAGGAGAGACTAGTAAAATACAACATGATCCGACCAACGCCTATGCAGAGTCACGTTCTCCAAGTTTCTCTCACTGGACCGTATCTATTCTGTGGATAACATCGAGACTGATCTGGTGAGAATTGAGAAATCAGTTTTAAATGTGCCACAAAATTTAGCCAGAAGGAGGCTTCACTTTGAAAGGACAGCTGCAGTGTTTGTCTCCTCGATTCAGTTTGGAAGCTAATTCACTTTACACTGCTAAAAAAAGCTTAGCACTTGCATGGGGATACTGAATAATCTCAAAATGTTTGGATGCAGTTATGGATCCATCTCTGTGGAAAAGGGAGGATATGAAAACAGACATGTCTAATAAGATGGTCATTTTTACCTGTACTTTTCACGCTCGTGTTTTTTTTCTGCATCATGTCTGCACTGATTGTATCTATCATTTCTGAATTGTGAATTTTGTGTCATTCGTAATAATTCAGGTAAAACCTGTCGACTGAATGTTTTAACAATGAATGTAGTGAAAAAGCGAACTATACATGAAGCCAAAAGTATCCGCTTATCGCTCAGTGTTTAAGAGGACAACAAAACTTATTTACTACAGTAAATTCAAGCCATATGAAACTGTAAAACTGTAGCATAGGAACCACAGCACCATCAGATGCAAGCTACTCTGTGAAATAAAAAGAAAAAAGTTACAAAAGTCATGTTTACAAGTATCCCTGTAGAGAAGGTTACTACTACAAACACGTTTTACTCAAACGAATTTAACAATCCGTCTGTTGTTGATGTACATGTGTTGTCTGTTTTTACCTGTAGATTTTTATACATAAATAAATTCTTAAAAGTGAACGCAGCGTGTGCATGAGCTGAATATTAATTACAGTTGTTTTTGATCTAGACTATACGCTTTTGTTTGTCAGAGTTTGTGTATGAGGACTTTCTCTAGTAGCAGATGGATGGAGGGACTTGCAGATGATGGTACAAACAACAAGACGCCACAGAGACCTTTTGTTCACACAATTTTGCAGTCTTGCCAGCTGGGACATCTTAAACACATGCATGAAACACAACCCTTGTCATTTTTTACTTCATTATTAGCCTATAGCTAAAGTGTAGCCATATTTTTGGTTGTATTTATTATCATAAATGCAGTAAATTGCAGTAAATCTACAAATGCCATGACTAAGCTGGTTAGTTTTTTGTAAGATAATTGTCCAGCCAGCAAACAAATGAAATTTTATTGTTGAAAACACATTACTTTCGTTCCTAAATTTGCAGGGCTTGTTATGTACAAATGTACATGTGTTATGTATTAGCACAATTGAGCCAAACCACATGAAAACTAGCACAGACCAAGCCTCTGTAACAGCCTAAACCACACACACAAACACATACAATTTATTTACAAATTGTAGTTGACTTACAATTTACTTTACATACTTTTTATGTCTAAAGGGCATTAAATTATAATAAAAGATGCAACTTTTTATTTTTTTAATCTATTAGTGAATTAATAAATGCCATACATGTTATATAATAATAATAATAATAATAATAATAATAATAAATAACGTACCGATATTATTCTTATTTCATTAGTTATTATTTGTTATCAGGTAAGGCCTGCAAATACTTCTTCAGCAGAGAAATCATGCACAGATTTTTACAAGCTTACTTACAAGCTCAAGACAATATAAGTGCTAATGCTGATTACTGGAAAAGATTCTTGACTAGGGCAACATTTCCCGCAAGCTCCGTGGCTTGGGATCTTTCCAAATCTGTACAGGGCTCACCGTCAGACGAGCGCTTTAAACCACGTGGCGTGAAGCGGAAATCCGCCGCTTTCTCAAAATGTCCGCGTCCGACGAACACACGCTGCCGCAGGAGGAGGAGGATGAGTTTGAGGACATGGAGGCGAGTGAAAGCGACGAGGATGATATGGAAGGAGAAGAACAGAACGGGGACGGGCAGGAGAAAGTCTATGTGCCCGGTCTGCAGCCGCTTCAGCCGGGAGAAGAGCTGGAGATGGACCACTCCGCTTACCGCATGTATCACGAATGCCAGACCGGTTAGTCTCTACCCGAAGTTTCCACCAAATATAAACATACACGATGTATTTATGTGCAGGGATGTATAGTGCATAATTCCACAAAAAAAATAAAAATAAATAAATAATAAATAAAAGGAAAAAGCAGGCTGCCACAACAAAACATGTTTGTTTATTACTTGAGCAACGATAATTATTATTTTAACCATATTTTGTATTACATACTATGGTACTGGCAGTACCCTATTTTGCGTCTTAGCTATAAAATGGTCTGATTATGGCATTCTAAAGGATGTGTACTGAAAATTGTGTTGAAAGATTACAGCATTTGGGATTGTTAAATTATGCTTTTACAATTTTATTAACATCGTTATTAATTTTAATATTATTTTTATATTTAGATCTGTGTTCAGAACAATTTACCTATTGTTGTTATTACTACTGCATTAACAATATCTCACACTTCTTTTGATTGTTTTTTTTTCTTTTTCCTTAGAATTGTGAGGCAAAGTTGAAAGGTTTTGATAATTAGCTTTCTTATGGACTTTTGTCAGTTATTTTAGTAATGTTAGTAACATTAAAGGTGAAAGATAGTTGGTCAATTTTCAGAATGTAATGCACATCTTTTGCACATCTATTGTCACACTTCTGACTTTTACATTCACATTAATAAAAATAATAATTATTATTATTGAGCAATTCCATGCAAATGTAAACCTTGACATGAAAGAAATGAAGTGTTTACCAAAATGGTGAAACCCTTTCAGATTTTTTTGTGTGTAAGCTTGTAATTTACAAGACTGTCAGAAATGTCTCTGTCATTGTTATATTTGATTTACCAAAGTCACACAAAAATCCATTTCACATCCATCATATCCATAATGAAGCTTTTTTTTCCCTCAAAAATGCAAAAAACGTTAAATAAAATAAAATTCAATCATGTTTATTCTATAGAGAGCCTCTCTTATTTTTTAATCAGCAGTATTTCTTTTGGCTTGTGCAGTTTAATTCACAGAATTTCTATAAAGTATGTTGTACACTGTAAACTTTCAGATTTTTTGTCACATCCATAATGCATTGTTTATTTTCTCATTTAAAGTATAAAAAAATGTTTTCAGATTGATATTTTTCTCATCCCAGAAGTCTGTCTTTAGTTGTTTTGGAGAATATAAACCGGTGTTTAAATATAATGTTAACATATACTTTCTCTGTGTGTTTTTATGTTTTGAGTTTTTACTGCAAATGTCACATTCTTAATGCTGTAATTATCGCACTGTGCACTTCTGCAATAGTCACATCGCAGGATGACCAGAAACCACAATTCAGAACATGATTTGTGTAGCACCCTAGAGTGAAAGATTTTTACTTGGGTATGTTTTAAGGAACTGTGACTAAGATATCAAGCAAACTTAAACCAAAAAATTCAATGTAACAATGATTAAATTGTATTTAATTATTTATACAATGTAGACGATATACTTGATTAACGTTGAATTTATGTTAAACTCCACAGACAAACCATAAAACATTTTTTTAAATCCATTTTCTACTATGTTCATTTTTGTTTGCAAATTGTTTGTTTTATGCTGATGTAGGAATTCTTTACTAGTAGTTATTTCGGTCATCTTTTGTGAAAATATATTCATATCGCAATGTACAGTATATCACAAAAAACTAAATATCACAATGTCAGTTTTTTCATGCAGCCCTATTATAAAGTAATACATTTATTTTTTCCATTGATGATAATCCTCTCCAAATCCAAGTATTATACAGTAAAACCATTCAGATAAACAGTTTTTAATAGTAGTAATTAATTTTTATACTTAAATCAACATAAAATGCAGTAAAACAAAGTCATGCATAAGTTTCTTAAGAATCTTTCAACTTTAAATAATGAACACAACAACTTGTATGTTTATAATAATGTATGTCGATTTTGTTTATTTCTTGTGAAACTCCCCATAATAGGTGAACTTGTGTTTCTTCTGCAGGTGCTCCATGTCTGAGTTTTGATGTAGTGCTTGATGGAGAAGGCGACAGGAGAGAGCAGTTTCCCCTCTCTATGGTGCTGTGTGCTGGAACACAGGCAGACACTGCACTCAGCAACAGGTGAACTCACAGCGCTACTTTATTATTTTAATATAAGTTTATGATGTTTGGATTCCTGCATGTTCTCGTGGGTTTCCTCGGGGTGCTCCGGTTTCCCTCATAGACCAAAGACATGCTGTACAGGTGAATTCGATAAGTTAAATTGGCTGTAGTGTGTGTAAATGCAAGAGTGTATGGGAGTTTCCTAGTGTTGGGTTGCAGCTGGAAAGGCATCCACTGTGTAAAATATATGCTGAATAATTTGTCAGTTCATTCTGCTGTGGCAACCCCTGATTAAAGGACTAAAGCAGGGGTCACCAAACTTGTTCCTGGAGGGCCAGTGTCCTGCAGATTTTAGCTCCAACCCTAATCAAACACACCTGAACAAGCTAATCAAGGTCTTACTAGATGTACTTGACACAATCAGGGAGGTGTGTTAAGGCAAGTTGAAGCTAAATCCTGGAGGGACACTGGCCCTCCAGGACCGAGATTGGTGACCCCTGGACTAAAGGCTGATTTATACTTCTGCGTCAAATGCACGCGTATGCTATGGCGTTGACGCATCGCCGACGGCCACGGCGTAGGGCTTTGCTGAAGTGCACCTTTCAAAAAATGTAACTACATGTCGCAACGACGCGTAGCACAAGCTCTGTGATTGGTCTGCTTGGTAGCGCTGACGAGTCTGACAAGTGTGGAGTCCTGTGAAGGAGCTCCGAATGAAAAGTTTTGTTTTGTGTTTACCTCATAGTTTAAGTTGTTGCACATCTGCCAGATCCTGCCTCAAAATGAGCGAGTTTAAACCACTTGTACATTCAGGAAGTGTATAGGAAAAGCAAAGCACCAGCAAAGAAACTCGACACAGAGGAACATTTACACCTTAATGCCAACTAGCGTTTCGGAAGTGTTAATGCAGACCAACAGAGACAGTGCGCAGAAGTATAAATGCACAGCTACGCGCGTTGCATGTGCCGTGGGTTACGCCGGTCACTTGACGCAGAAGTATAAACCAGGCTTAAGCCGAAAAAGAAAATGAATTAATTAATGTTTGGCTTTCCCAACCAGCACTCAGAGATGATGACGTTTTCTCAATCTCTATCCAGGCTTATTGTCATGCGCATGCACAACCTTCAGGGAACTGAGAAAAAAAAAGATGAAGACAAAAGCAGTGATGAAGAAAGTGACGAAGATGAAGACGACGAAGACGAAGATAAGAAACCACAGTTGGAGCTGGCCATGATGCCACATTATGGAGGCATCAATAGAGTCAGAGTAAGTCTATTTTACTCCTTATGGTTTGGTTCATTACAGTTTTGTAATGTACATGTTTTCCAAGGTTTTAAGCAGTATGTACAAGTCAGAAATTGAATTGAGTCCACTCAAAAGTAGGTCTGCATGATTAATCTAAGGTGATTTGTGTGTGTTTCTCAGTAAAGCCGTACTGTAATCAGCAGCAAGTCTCAAGCATGTGCTTTCAGGTGTATCAACATTTACAACACACTGTTGTAATGCACTGACATTTTCTTTTCGGCTTAGTCCCTTTACTAATCAGGATTACCTTCCAGCTGCAACCTATCACTGGGAAACACCCATACACACTTATTCACACACACATATACTACAGACAATTTTGATTACCCAATTCACCTATAGCACATATCTTTGGACTGTGCAGAAACCGGTGCACCTGGAGAAAACCCACGTAAACGTGGGGAGAACATGCAAACTTCAAATAGCACCTCTTGCCGCTAATGTGCTGATAAACTTTGCAAAATAATATTAAATGCAGATGATTTATTGGATGATAATGAAATAGAAGATATTCATTCTGTGATTTGACCAGTGTTTGTGTTGTTTCTCAGTGCACTATGACTGCCATGTCTGAAAGGATGTGAAAATACCACAATAATAACATGTTTTTTACTTCAAACATACTTCATAACTTCAGTTGAGTGTTTGAAATAAATCCTTCTTAGACATTATTCATTAGTCGAGTGGTTAATAGCCATACCTAATCAATGAAAGCGGTTTATTTATTAACGGGTACTAGGATTTTTACTTGGACATTTACTACAGATCACACAACTTCAAGTAGGCATCGCTGCAGCAAGGAGACTTCCAAGTGCAATTGACTTATGCCACAGGTGGGCTGGGTTTAGGGTTGGTGTAGGTATAGTAGACATTAATAAAACACAACAGGTTATTGTGGGGTTGGGGTAGGTGTAGGCCTGTCATGATAAGAATTTTTTGTTGTGTGATATATTGTCACAGAATTTGTTGCGATAAAATATATTATTGTTATTTTGAGATCATTTTATGCCACTGATTATATAATGATTATATAACGGCATAGTAATGCAAATAAACACTTGTCATTCTTAAGGTCATTTAAATTTTATAATTTGATGTTAAAAAGCTTATTGTACTATTATAAATAATATTAAATGACCTATTAGGTAAATGTCCCATTATACAGGGTGGGTCATTTATATGTATACACCTTAATAAAATGGGAATGGTTGGTGATATTAATGTCCTGTTTGTTACACATTAGTATTTGTGATAGGACTTGTAAACAACTCATGAAAGAATAAAGTTACGTTTAAAACCAAGCACGCTATTGTTTTTCATGTGAAATTCCCAATAAGTTTATTAAGGTGTATCCATATAAATGGCCCACCCTGTATACTTTGACACGGTTGAGACATCTCGTGAAACGTAAATGTCATTGTAAAATGGGTTATTTGTAATTTACTGGGAAACAAGAAAAATAATATTAGCAGGTTAATATTCAAAAACACTAGTCTAAACTCGATTTGGTTGTGTACAGCACACTTGTTTTTTTAATTCATTCATTTGCCTTCAGCTTAGTCTCTATTTCAGAGGTTGCCACAGCGAAATGAACCACCAAATGAATCATTACAAAATTTACTTAATTCTGATAAATAAATAGTTAATGATAAACTACAAATATGATCTTAAATTCACTTAGAATGAAGAGTCCGTGTGAGTCTGGAGTATTCAGTGCTCATGAACCCACTGAGAACAGCCTTAACTCTGCTACTGCTTCTGAAATCTACCACTGACTCTGGTGCATGTCTCTATAGTGGTTAAACATGAGATTCAATTCATTTTAGCTACATCTAACCATCTGTTTTAGTTAAATTTTGCAACGGCAAAAATTATCGAGGTCATCTCCAAGTCGATATAATGATTATTGTGACTAGGTAGATATAGACAATCATAAAACCCAAAAGGTTGGACTTTGTCGTGTACAAGACAGTAAAATAAATGAAACCTCTAGAATGTGTGTACAGCTTACTTTGAGCTAAAGTCCCACCCACTCAGAGCTGACCAGCCAATCTGAAGCTGTCTCTGACCTCCGTTCATAACCTTGCTTTGCTTATCTGACAAGATGTGTCTGACAGCCATAGCTTTTTATTAATTTAATTTCAATTGAGAATGCGGTCCTAGTCAAAAGTCTTCTGTTACTGAAGCATTTAAAAGCTCTGTCTATCAGATTTATCTGTAAGCAGATATACAAGTGAAATGTTGTCGGTTGTTTACCACAAGTTTTTATTTCAAATGAAGATATGAGCAAATGGGTAACAAAGTGGCTGTGAAATGTGTATTAAACACATTTCAGTAATAATGTTAGGCTAGTTACCTCAGACAGCCAATGACTTTATATTTGATCAATAAAACTTATTTCAGAGCTAGATCCGGGTTATAGACTGGGGTTTGTAAATGCTAGGTCATTGGAGAGTGTGGCTGGGTGTGCTATCCCTAATACTATACTACTAATACTATATATTAACAGACTAGTGTCAAAGGAAGGTTCGAAACTACTCAACAAAGACCTTTTGTAAATTTCAGAATCAATTGTTAGCCAAGTAGGTACCCTTTGTCACATGTAGTTTACTTAAACATCATCTGTTGATACTTGAACAGGTCACCCAGCGAGGGGAACAGACATTAGCAGCGGTGTGGTCGGAGAAAGGCCAGGTGGAGATTTTTGACCTTCGACTACAACTTGAAGCAGTGCATAATTCAACAGCGATGTCAGCCTTCATCAAGCAGGAGAAGGAAGCCACGCCCCTTTTTAGTTTTGCTGGTCATATGTCAGAAGGATTTGCCATTGATTGGTCACCCAAGGTGCCAGGTGAGTAACGTGGATTGTGGGAAATAGTTTTCAGGTTTGCCAAAATAATTTTAGTCATTGGTCAAAAAATGGTGATGTTTAATGTCATTTTTCATGTTGTGTACATAATATGAAAAAGCTTCATTAGGAAAAATGCTAAGTTTCACACAATCGATTTGTCCAGAGACCACATGAAGGAATTAAGTTGCTTTAAACTTAGCTTTAACTAAAATAAGTGGAGTAAACATAAAACAATTAAGTTGTGCCAAAGAACACTCACTAATTGTTTCAGTTCATTTAAAATAAGTAGTTTGAGCAAACATCTATATATTTTTTTAAGTGTAGCTGTGTGGATGCTATAGGCTTAGTGAACCATACTGTTTTCTCTTTTTTTCCCAATTTGCATTTTTATGTTGATCAATCAAGATCTTCTAGGACCAGTTTGCACTTTAAGATGTATTTTTGTTGCCACACACAAGTTTTACTTTTTCACTTTTTCTTAAGCAACTTTGCCATGCTTGAAGCTTAGAGGTAGAATATAATTAAACATTTCCAGGTTTTGATGAATAGGCTACTCTACATTATTACTTTACAAGTATAGCACTTTTCTTTTTCCTTTTCAACAACAATGCCATTTTTACATATCTTTTAAACACATATTTATTTAAACGATGAAGTTTTTTTCGTCTGCAATCAGTTCATGTTCAAACTATTTTAAATGTTAAAAGTGGCTGACAATAATACATATTCTTAATAATAGTAATTAATTTGCCTCGTTTTTGAACAGTGCAGTGCTGTAGCTGCTTAAATGGCCCTACTACGCTACTGTATTTCAAAACTGGTAAAAAAAAGTTTGAGAACCACTTCCCTAAAGCATCTTAGAGGACCTTTTAGGTAAAATCATTGTTTTCTTTATTGTTCCACTGGTTCCAAAGCTGTTTAAGCCATTTTTTTTCTGTTTAACACAAAGTATGTATTGAAGAATGTTTGGAAAACAACAGCAACTTTTAATAGTGTATTTCAATGGCTTCTTTTTCCCAACGTTCTTCAGAATATCTTGTTTTGTGTTTAGCAGAACAATGACATTTATGAATAGATAATAAGGTGTCTAGATTATTGGGACTGCTGCTCTAGAATCTGACTTACATAATCCTTTCACGTTCACTTACCTCAGGACGCATGGTGAGTGGCGACTGTAAGAAGAACATTCATGTCTGGGAGCCACAGGAGGGCGGCACATGGAAAATAGACCAGCGGCCTTTCAGCTCACACAGCAAGTCTGTTGAAGACCTGCAGTGGTCTCCTACTGAAGCCACGGTATGCCATTCTAATGAGAAAACCATATTAACATTTTAATTTCTTTAAAAAGTGGATGAAATGGGTAAATTCACTCTCTCTCCAGGTCTTTGCTTCATGTTCAGTGGATCAGTCCATTCGCATATGGGACATCAGAGCACCACCCAATTCCATGCTTTCAGCCAATGAGGCTCATTCTTCAGATGTCAATGTTATCAGCTGGAACCGGACTGAACCTTTTATATTGTCCGGAGGAGATGATGGCCTCCTCAAGGTCTGGGATTTAAGGCAGTTTCAGGTGAGCAAAAGCAAGAGGACACAAACATTTTGTTGTTGTTGTTTTGTTTTCAGATTAAAAGAATAGAATTTTAATTCTGTCCTCATTTACTCATCATAGAGTTTTTCTGAACTTCAGTTTTTTCCCCTTGTTCTGTTGAACACGAATGTTGGAAACCTGTAACCATTGACTTCCATAGTGTTTTTCTTTCTTAATTGGTAACAGTTTCCAACATTCTTCAAAACATCTCCTTTCCATTCAACAGAAGAAACTTAAACTAGTTTGGAATAAGACGTGGGTGGGTAAATGACAACAGAATTCTCATTTTTAGATTAATTGTCCCTTTAAGTAAAAAATGGAGTCGGGAAATGCATAAAGAGGCTGTCTTTGTTATGTGATTTGTTTGTCAAGTATGTTGTTTCAAGGCATCTGACATTTGCTAAGTCAGGATGTTAAAAATGAGCTTAGACTGTAAAAATGCTGGGTTCCACACAAATGATTTGTGTTGGGGCAACATGAAGGAATTAAGTTAACTTATTAGCTTTTACAAATTGAAGTAACATGTCAATTAGGTACTCCCACAAAAAAAAACTTAAGAATTGTTGTTTTAGACCATTTCAAATAAGTAGTTTGAACAAAAAGCCAGTGCCTTTTTTTGTGTATATAGTTGTATTATATATGTATTTTAGTTTTTAAATCATTGTGGTGTAGGGATATTGTACAGTTTGAACCCAAAATGACCAGTCTGATGAAGAAGAGCCGGAGTCAGAGATTCAATTATAGAAAGTTTACTGAAGATAGTCTGCGGTTTCATCAGCAGAAGCCAGCTTCAACACTCGCAATGAGTTCTTAGGCCGCTCCATTTACAATCACAAACATCAACAGTTATACTCTTTCATAACGTCATTTAACTGCTTCATACATATAGGTGTTTAAACCTGATTGAACACAGATAGACTTAGAAAACTTCCTCGTGGGTGGGTGGGTGCGTGCATATGTCAGACCCCTAGTTTTGTTTTTTGTTTTTGCAGTAATTCCCTGAAATTTAATGAACATCGTAATACCAGCCATACGTGTAAAACAAACAATGTCTTTTAATTCGGTCAAGTCCAGTGGCCGTCATGCTTGCTTTTCTGTCTTTTCCATTTCTTTGTTTTTTTAGATGTTTACTCCAATTTTCCTTTGCAGTCTGGTCACAATGTTTGTTTGAGCCATTGTCGACCATGGCTCGTTATTATATGTGTAAATAATTACGCTGTAAAACATCTCTCGGCTGTGTAAGTGTGCGTTTTAAACATGGCGGATCCTTTGTTTTCATTCTGGCTTGTTGCGCAAGTGAATGACGTATCTCTGTAAACCAATAGTGTTCAGCTGCGCATCTAGCTTTGCCTTTTGGTACCCTTTCGAAAAGGTGCCGAAAAAGTGGTACCAACCGAACCGTACCAAACTACTCAGTGGAAACGGGCCATAAGGTCACCATATAGTATAGGCCCTTAAAGATTCAACTTTATTAATAATGATAAAGACATGATAAAGGACATGTGTCACTCCATCCTGGCGTGGACATCCATCAGAAAATCCATGCCATCAGTGGAATAAAATTTGGCTAAAAACATCTGCAAGACTTTTTGTTTCAAGTCTGCTTCCCTGAACTGCATTTATTTAATAATATTGTAAAGCAGTAATGCAATATTATTAAATTATTACAATTAAAAAAAACTCTTATTTTTTTAATAGTATTTTCAAATAGCGTATATTCCTATAGTGCAATAATACTGTTGTGTTGCTAAGGAAGCTTTTGTTTATTATAATGTCTTTTGTGCTGTCTAATGATTTATTTTTTTAATAGTATTTTGTTGCAAAAAGAACAGTATTCATTGCAAAAAGTGAAGCCACCTAAAATGACACAGAAAAAATGTAACAATTTATAACCTAATTATTTGAAGTGGAATGTTGATTATTTCTGCATTTATTAACGGGTCACTGTTGTGTTGATTTTTTTCTCAGTCTGGACGTCCGGTGGCCAGTTTTAAGCAGCACAGTGCACCTGTAACGTCAGTGCAGTGGAGCCCCGTTGACTCCAGTGTGTTTGCCGCCTCTGGAGCCGATGATGTTATCAGCCAATGGGATCTGTCGGTGGAGTCATGTGACATGGGAGGACAAGCAGAGGATGTAAAACAGCTGCCGCCACAGCTACTGTTCCTTCACCAGGGCCAGAAAGAAGTGAAGGAGCTCCATTGGCACCCGCAGATTCCCGGAGTCCTCATTTCCACAGCGCTGTCGGGATTCAACATCTTCAGAACTATTTCTGTGTAGAGTGCGTTTGTTTATGAGAGAGAGAGAGATTGGCCTGTTGTTTATTTCAGGCTGAAAGAGTGTGCAGGTGTGCCATTTTAAGTGTATATAGATGGATGAGCGGAATATTTAGGTATGCGTGACTCATATGTATTTGTTCATTTTCCTCGAAACCAAATTTCTTCCACTCCTTGAGGCTGTAATGATGTCATTGCATGATTAATTACTAAATGGTGCCTGTTAAAGAGCATTCTGAATCATCCACAAGTCTGGTGGTTTTGTATCGGCTGTTTATAAATGCTAAAACTAACATATCAAATGAAACATTTTTTAATTGAGAATCCTAAATTTAATGATTCTCAGTTAAACTATGTAATAAAATAGTGCATATTTGTGAGCAAACGTTTTGTATCATATTTGATACAGTTGTATTTGAGGTCTCAAAGCATCAGAAATCTGCAGAATTTCTGCTCAGAATTTTGTAAAAAAAAATAAATAAATAATAAATAAATCTGCAGATTTTTATAAGAAGTGATTTTGAGAGTATAGTAACTGAAAACTTAACATTAAATAAAAAATAAAATACATAAAAATAGGAAAATTATCTTTTTAAACTTGCAATTTCTATAACTTTTTTTTTACTTTTAACTTAGATCTTCTTGTTTGGTAAACAAAGTAAGTGTCATATTTTATATCTTCTAAAAGAAAGTTTATATTCCTTTACAAATTGCATAAACTTTTGTATATTAGTCAATAATATTACTGAAGTAAATATAAAACTATAAACAGTTGAAGTCAGAATTATTCACCCCCCTGCTTATTTTTTCCCAATTTTTGTTTAACGGAGAGAACATTTCAACACATTTCTAAACGTAACAGTTTTAATAACTCATCTCTAATAACTGATTTATTTTATCTTTGCCATGATGACAGTAAATAATATTTGACTAGATATTTTTCAAGACACTTCTATACAGCGTAAAGTAACATTTAAAGGCTTAACTAGGTTAATTAGGATAATTAGGCAAGTTATTGTATAACCATGGTTTGTTCTGCAGACGGTTGAAACAATATAGCTTAAAGGGGCTAATAATTTTGACCTTAAAAGAATTTTTCAAAAAATTAAAAACTGCTGTTATTCTAGCCAAAAAAAAAAAAGCAAATAAAACTTTCTCCAGAAGAAACAAAATTATCAGCCATACTGTGAAAATGTCCTTGCTCTGTTAAACATCATTTAGGAAATATTTAAAAAAAGAACAAAAAATAATAATAATAAAAAATTTTATATATATATATATATATATATATATATATGATTGTATAACACACACACATACAGTTGAAGTCAGAATTTTTAGCCCCCCTCTGAATTTCTTTTTCTTTTTAATTATAGAGCAAGGAAATTTTCACAGTATATCTGATTTTTTTTTTTCTTCTGTAGAAAGTCTTATTTGTTTTATTTCAGCTAGAATAAAAGCAGTTTTAAATATTTTAAACATTTAAGGTCAAAATTATTAACCCCTTTAAGCTTTATATTGTTTCAATAGTCTACAGAACAAACCATCATTATATAATAACTTGCCTAATTACCCTAAGCTGCCTAGCTAACCTAATTAACCTTGTTAAGTTTTTAAATGTCACTTTACTCTGTATAGAAGTTTCTTGAAAAATATCTAGTCAAATACTATTTACTGTCATCATGCAAATGATAAAATAAATCAGTCATTAGAAATGAGTTAATAAAACTGTTGTGTTTAGAAATGTGCTGAAAAAAATCGTCTCTCCATTAAACAGAAATTGGGGAACAAAATAAACAGGGGCTAATTTACATCAGTAAATAAATACTCAATGAGCTTTAAAAAAAATCTGGATTTCTGCCTGTATGCCACCATTTGGAAAAGTCAAGGTTTTAAAACCGTCAAAATCTTCTGCTATACCATTCCTACAGTATATGTAAGACTTTTTAAAGGAAAATAGTATCTCCAGCAGAAAAATATATCCAAAGTTGTTTTAAATTGTGATAAGTCTGTGTTTTTGAAACTAATAAAGACAGCAGAACTATTTAGCCTGACATGTTTACAAAATATTTGAAATGTTCCTCAAAATAAAATCTGTTGTGTTCAAAGGGGGAAAAAAAAAGTCTTTTTTTTTTTTTTTTTTACCAGATATTTAAAATACTTTAGAGAAGTAATCACTATATTAGGAAACTAATATTAGGATATTTTTATCCAAGGTTATCATACCATCAGAATCTTATACCGGCCCATGCCTACTCGTATAATATTATAATATTCATCAGATTTTGATGTTTTTTTGTTTTGTTTTTTTTTATTAAAAAGAAAAAAAAAAATCTGTTTCAACTCTACATGCTCATTGAGACCAAAAGATTTTTTCAGAAAAGTGTTATCTGTCGGTCTCTTTCAGGCAGTGAACATGACAAAGAAATATTTAAGTCCATCTAAAGCCGCTAAATACAGCCTGGAGCTGGAGGAGTTGGAATTTTGTGTACAACACCCTCAAACTGTTTTGAATGGCCAACTTTAAAGATGACTAAAGAAAATATGCGATAAGCTACATAAAATCATGCTACATGCAAATATTAAATATCACGACAGGTTATTTACAATTGATGTGTTGTAACGCACCCACTAAAGTGCTCTGAATTTTCCATTAGGGCTGTGAAAACCGCTATCTCGTGGTTCCAGTGGCTCTAGCTGGAGAGAGGAAATGGTTTAGATATGGAAGGATGCCCTCCAGTGTAAGTATGATGAAAGGGCCTGTTTACATTTTTGGCCCTTTTTGACATTTTTGATATTACTCAACTTCACTTCCAGCAATTGTTCGCTTTCATACTTTGATCTACAGCCAACGATGCAAGACAAATAACTTGGGTCAATTATTTGACACTTAAAAATAGTAATATAATAAGAAAAATAAATGTAGTGTAATGTAAAATTAACTTAAAACTATTTATGACAAACCGTCCTGAAAATTCTCTCACTATTATCCAATCAAAATAAAAATGCCAGCATGAGTTAAATACAGCAGGAATTCATTTATTTACCTGATTTTAAAATAAGATATATATCAATAAAGCAGTACGTGTACACAAATGCACATTCAAAGAATACAACATGCCACAGATAGTTTTATAAAAATTTAATTACATGTTTTGGTCTAGCCCCAGTCTACATCGTTTAAACTGAGTGGTTTTGGATGTACAATGATGACTGATTGTCTAGTATACGTATTCAAACCAAACAAATGTGAAAGCAAGATAAAAACAGCTTTTGAAAATGAATCCAGCCTAATAAAAGCTTTCTATGTTTCCCTTTATAAAGTGGTCAAGAGCTATAATTATTATCATCATTATTCATTCACAGTTTATAAACTATGCACTTGTTTAGCTTTTAAGACTATTTTGTAGTGTGTAACTTTAGTTTACATTTCTTTTTTACCATTTCTAAACGAGTACATCTTCAAAAACGCAATCGGATTGCTCTCATTTCTTAAGATATGTATGCTTATGTAATAAAAATTCCAGCATTTGTGAATGCATTCAGCAACCTTGCATCCTTACACAAAAAGAAATGCTACTTTTCAGTGAAAATAGGCAAGGTGAAGATAGAAAACATCTTCATTTAAGGCACTGTGCATAAGAATAATGTCAGGAATTATTGGTAATGTATGTGGTATTTGGCTTTTAAAATGTAACAGCTGTTATTCTGAGGGAACATTTACATGCCAACTGTGCAGCAAACATGTAAAAGTTTTTACTTCTATATGTGACCCTGGACCACAAAAGCAATTCAGTTTGTGAGAATTGCCAAAAATACATACAAGTTATAATTATCTGTTATATTTAGAGTATTAAAGTAAAGATCATCTTCCATGAAGACATCTAGCAAACTTCCCACCCTAATTATATCAATATGTAATATTTAATAAGAAATATGCATTGCTAAGAACTTCATTCAGACATCTTTAAAGCAGATTTTCTCAATAATTCGATTGTTTTGAACCCTCAGATTTCAGATTTTCAAATTGTTGTTACTCGTCCAATTATTGTCCTATTACAAACTATACATTAATGGTATGCTTATTTCTTATTTCAGCTTTTAGATGATCTCCAATAAACTATCCCTCATGAGCGGCAACACGGAGGCTCAATGGTTAGTACTGTGGCCTCACAGCAAAAAGGTCGCTGGTTCAAGTCCCAGCTGGGTCAGTTAGCATTTCTGTGTAGAGGGTGTTGGCGTGGGTTTCCTCTGGGTGCTCCGGTTTCCCCCACAGTCCAAAGACATGTGCTATAATATATTGAATAAACTAAATTGGCCGTAGTGAATATGTGTGCATGTAAGGTGTTTCCCAGTACTGGGTTGCAACAAGAAAGGCATCCGCTGTGTAAAACATATGCTGGATAAGTTGGCGGTTCATTCCACTGTGCTGACTAACCCCTGATGAATAAAGGATCTAAGCCCAAGGATAATGAATGATCCTCATGAATGTTTTGTGGTTCAAGGCCACATATAAACAAACCACAAAAATGACTATGCATGTAATATGCATGCCAGGCCAGTAGGTAGCGATGCCACTTTTTAAAGAAACACTACTCGCCTGTGCACTATAGCTGCGTCTCAAATGGCACACTATACACTTATGCACTGTACTTATGCACTTACACACTCAACAGCTTAGTATATGTATGTAGTGTTGTCCCAAATGAAACACTAATGTTTTTTTACTAAGCGGAAATTCAAACCATTTCCCTGATGACGTTTGACGGCTGCCAAATCAGTGAAATAAATGACCAAAATACCAAGTAATTCCTGCCATGAGTGTAACCACATTCACCAACGGGAGGTGCTATAACCACTCTCAGAGGAGAATTTTCACCATCCAAAATAAATAGTTATCAAACATGTGCGCCTGATACCTTTGTCCCTTCCGCCACGTGAGCAAAGCTGCGGTCGTTGAGTGTGTGAAGTGTCCATCATTACACACTTCACTTTACCAGCTGAATGAGTGCATCATCCGGGTAATTAAAGTGCACTTCTTATTTTTAGTTTTCAGTGTGAACGCACTACTTAGACTATGTATACTACAAAATGGCGTAGAATAGTGCATAAGTATGCTATTTGGGACGCAGCTATTGTCTTGCAGTCCAGCATTTTTGTTTTGGTTACTCAAAGCAAATTGTGAGTGATTCCACAATTGTCATAAAATCACTTCTTTTTTTCTTTTTCTTTTTTTACACAGAACAACAACGGCACTTTGAAACCCATTTTGTGTTTGCATTAAGGCAACAAAATGGCTTTGACTTGTTTGGCGTTGAACAATGATGTGTGTGTAAACACCCCCTTTGGTTTCAGTTTTCTATGAACTCCAGCTATTTCCTTTACATCGAGATTAAATTGGTTTCCAGTTACCTGAACAAGGTGAAGTGCCCCATAACAGATCTATAAAGTGGAAGATTTGCTGTTCAATATTATACAGCTTAAACCTTGGGAGACGTACTTGTAAGACTGTTTCCTGGGTTATTCTTTTATATTATCTCACCGTCCGTGGGAGACTTTCAGAATATGTAGTAATAAAATCCAATAAAAATACAAAACCGTCCTTTTCTCATAAAATAGATCCGAAAACGAGTAAACGCAATCGTAAACTTCATAAGGCTATAAAAGAGAGTTCCAAATTGTCCTCAAGAAGTAATTTTCTCTCCTTGTTGGTTGTTTTTTTTTTTTTAAATGCTTCAGTTCACTTGATCCATCCACTTCTTTTTGGTCCTCAAAATGCTTGCAATGTCCTCTTAAAGCCCGATTTCATCATCAAGCTCGTCCTCAAACGTGTATCCCTGTTCTCCATTGGCAGTCTCCTCCTCTGAATCAGAATCTGAAAGGTGTTGGTCTTCTCTCCTTCTGTCCAGCGGTGAGACTCCTTCATATTCTGAGCTCGCTGAGGAAGAAAGGCTCGGAGAGTTTTCCTCTCTTCGGTTAACCATCTCCTCTTGTCTCGGGTCTTTATCGAAAGCCGTCCTCCCACTTATCTCCTGCATCCCTTTATTTGGCCTCATTTCTTCTCCTTCAGCTTCAAGCCCCTCGATCACTTCCTGACGACCGATGATCTCATCGCGCTTGTCGCTGAAGCGCACTTTAGGCCTGAGCCCTTTGGATTTGATGCCGTTGACCTCATTCAGCTGCTCGTCTCTCAACTCTCTGCTCAAGCTTTCCATTCTCATCCTCTCGTTCAACTCATTACCAACATTTCTTGATGACATCATCGCATCTTTCGATCCACTCGTAAAAACCTCTTCGTTGCCTTTGCAAGAACCCATCGTCAGTCCGTCCATCACTCCCAGAACATCTCCCAAAATCGAAGGCCCTAAATCCAAATCGAGGTCAAATGAAGAAACTGAATCGGAATGTCGGAGCTCGCTTGGACTGCTATCTTCCACGTATTTCATTTCATCGTTATGGTTTGTCTCAATGTCTTGGTTCTCAGTCATGGAGGGGGTGGCCGTGACTGGTTGAGCGGTGTTGGGATCTGGACTTGAGGGCCCATGGCTGGACAGAAAGGAGGTGTCCCCAAAAGCGTCTCCACCACGACCGATGTGCATGGTGTGACGGAAATCACCCAGAGGAGCTGAGATCATGGTGGGGTCCAGACGAGGAGCTCGGGATGATTTGTGGAGAGGCATTGTTGCAACTGAGGAACAAAATCACAAAGTCAAACGGTGTAAGAAACATTTCCAATGCAATAATGTGTTTTATAATTAAACTACATCCAATCCAGTTACTGAATTAAATCACTAAGGGTGCTTCTGGAAAATAGTAAGAATGCTTGATGTGATATATTGGTCACGCTTTACGATAAGGTTCCATTGGTTATTTTTTCAAGTGGTGCTCGCTGCAGAGCCATTTGGGCGAGCTGAGCTTCAGCGAGGGGGAGCTTGAGCTTGAGCTCCACCTTGTTTGCACTTCTTCTACGAGTGATGTCACTGGGGGTAGGGTTAGGGGTGGGGTTGGTGTACGCATTAAAACAGCTTACAGGAGGCAGAACGAGAGCTCATGCTCCCCCTCGCTGGAGCTCAGCTCTGCTTAAATGGCTCTGCAGCGAGCACCCTCTCTATTTTTTAGCATCAGCTAAGACTTAGACAATACTTGTACAGCATTTATTAATGATAGTTAACTGTTAATTACAACATTAATCAAAATCCAAAACTGTGCTTGATGAAATGAGTTGCACTGTGAATCAACGAATGAGTTATTTTCAATAACTAATGTTAACAAAGATTAAAATATTGTCATGTATGTAATGTTTGTTGATGGTTAGATTACATTAAAGCAGGGGGTCTCGAACTGAAATGGCTATATAAGTGACTGACTTTTAACATTCAAGCACGAGAAAATAGTGGAAACCTGATGCACTCAGACATTCTTCCCCAGAGTAGATGCAGTCAAAGCTCCTGTTTCTTGTTGCATATATTGAAGAGGTAGTTTAAATAATAGGCATATTAATTATTATAATTATTCTGTCCCAATTAATTGTTGCTTAACCAAAAGTTTAACAGATAGCACAAGACAGCAGAAAGCAGATTTGGTAACTTTAGTGACTTTACTGGAAATTGCTCTTCTCAATATCTTTCTTTTTTGTAAAACTACGAGAAGGGGGGGGGACATTTTTAATTCAGCCAGCAGTAAAACCTTATTAATGAACATTCTTATACAAATCTTAATAAACATATAAGGAAAATCTATTAAATGAGACTATTTGAGTCTAATATTTATATTCATATTAAATATGATCATATTTACACCACCAGCATAACATGTAAGCGATGGAGATGTGTTTGTACAACAAAATACAAATGATATAAAATGTATTATAATCAAACGACCCATAAATATTTACAGAAAGAGCTTTAGTAAAATAGAGCACTTTCAGACATATATTTCAACATTTAAATCAGCCCCAGAAATAATCTGAATGCACTTTACTCTTGACTACATACACTGAGAGAAACTGAAAGTAACCCAGATATATAGCACATGTGCAGTAGGTGGGGGGTCAAAACCACAAGTGGCTATATGCGACTGCACAACAATGACTGATTCAAAAATATATGTTTTGGTGGGCCGAATCGCGTTATATTTTGATGTCAGTGGGGGGTCGGAATGAGGAAGAGGGAGGTCCGCAAATGACCCGTGGACCGGCAGTTTGCAATAAACTGCATTAAAGCAATGGTCTCGAACTCAATTCCCGCAGCTCTGCATAGTTTAGCTCAAACCACCTAGTCTCTGTTAGTCTTGAACACCTTGATTAGTTGGATTAGCTGTGTTTGATTAGGGTTGGAGCAAAACTGCAGAGCTGCAGCCCTCCAGGAAGCGAGACAGTTCACCCTTTAAACTTTTAAGCATTTTTATCTTCTGTTAAACACTAAATTAACATTTCTGAAGAAACTTGGAATCATTGATAACTATTGACTGAAATTATTGACATCCATAGTGTTTGTTTTTCCAACTATAGAGGTCAATGGTTACAGGTTTTCAGCTTTCTTCAAAATATATTCCACATTCAAAAGAAGAAAGAAACAACCTTAATATAATACTGTGCAGTAAGCACAATATTTCGTCCCATCTATCAAAGGCTATGACTGAACCTTGCATTTATACAAGGAGATCATGCCCAAATTTATATTGACTACTGTGTTGTGATTGTTGATCCTCTCAGCAGCATGATATACAAAACATATTCAAATTCTTAATGGGTTATTTATAGCCAACAAAGTACATCACCTTTATAATAACTAAAAAAACTATTACTCACTTTAGTTCATCTCATACTGTCCCTTTACAATCATTAAATCTCTCTCCAACGCACCTTGATTACACTAACTCAGTACTGAACAAAAACCTTTTGCAGCATACTGACCATTGAGTGTACTCTGTCAAATAAAATAACTTCTGACTGGCCATTTCATACACAAACATCCCTGGCTGCATGCTGTACCTTAATGCTAAAACAGCACGCCAATAGAAAGCATTGGTCCTTTCCAGATATACAAACACATTGGAGCATTAGCCAATTCTGCTTCACCAGTATACTATTGTTACAGCTTTTGCTTTCATTTTAAAGCCCTCAAACAGTACACCAACATTGAAGCTGCCCCAAATTACCTATATTTATCACACAATGCGCAATAAATATGGGTTAATTTCCATTGTGAAGTAGGCCTACTATTCCACATCGTTATTAATTCAGAATATATGAGATGATGTAAATTCATTTTAATACAGTTATACAAGGACAAAATTGTTAAATATGTTGTTGCCTATGTTTTCAATATAGTATCAGAAACGTTTTATAATATAAAATGTGCAAAACATGTTTCTAAATCTCTTTCCTCATCTTATTCAGTGGAACTCAGTGGGTGAGGTGAGATGAGACGAGATAAACGTCTCGTTGTCTTAGATCTGTATATTTTTATATTTCCAGGTATGAAATCATAGCAGGAGCTACGATTGCGTAAAGCGTGTTAAAAAGAGCAGTTGACAGACGGCGAAAGCCAAGCTCGGACTTGTTATGTGAAGCGCGTGCTAAATGCCTTCTTCCCTCCAGCATTCTCGCGAGGTCGAGACACAAATCTCAGACAACGACCGAACCCACCATAAGATATAAACTTAGTTTTAAAATATTTTATTTATTTAATATTTAAATAGCTACAATTATTTTTTTTAAAAACAGACTTACTGTAATACTTTGTAGAGCCTACGAACGTTTGTTTAGATTCATGTTAATAGCGAACTATAAAATATTCAATACTTTCGACAAAACACGTAAGAATAAACATGTTTCCACTTTTTAATGCTTGTTAATATCCTGTTTGGTCTCATATGAGAGGCTTATTTGTTCAAGAAAACCCCGTTTACGTGACCTATTCATAAACAACTGCAACAGCTGGAAAGAGGATCAGTTCAGGCATCTGTACCAGATCTGTTGACCACGGGTATGAAATCGACTATACTTAAGGTTTGCTCTGCTGAAAGATATTATTTAAAGAAACCTTTTAAATACATTGTATACGTATTTCCTCTAAACAAAACAGTGTGACTGCAGTCTTTAAACTCTTACCAGTGGTCTTAATTTTAAGCAGAAGACCTGCCTTTTCCCCCCAGGAACGTGTCCTCCTGTCCAGTAAAGCTGTAATAAAGCAAACATTATATTTTTGTGAATTAATTTATCAGCCAGCACAGTTTAAAGCAGTGAAGCTCTCTGGAGTGGGAGTTGCAGCCAAAAGTTACGCGCCCAACTGAGAGTCGAATTGATTTCGTATAAAACGGTTGAACTGAACTTACATTGATAACCGTGTGCTTGTCAATAGGTTTGTACCTGTTTGTTCCTCTTTTAAGCGATAGCTTCTTTAAATATCCTCGTTTTTCTTCTTTTACAGACTTTTCTGGCGTCGCTGTTCTCTCCGATATTTCTTTTTTTCCTTTAGGGATGGGCAAGGAAGTGACGTGACTTTTATGGGAGCGCTTTGCTCCCAGCTGAAAGTAGCGACTGACGCATGTCTGCCTTTCCTCTCTGCTTTCTTCCGTCAGAACAAAACTATTTCACACCAATTTTCCTTTTAATAATCGTCGACATTTTCTGTTATCATTATTATGTTGAGCTAGATTTAAATGTGGGCCTGTATTTAAAAATGGATGACGCAAGGTTTATTTTAAAGTGAGGAGAGGACTTCTAATATCAGAGAGTTATAGTTATTGTTATGGGCATTGTGTAGAACTGTTTGTACAGTGTGTTTGAGTTTATTGCTATGGATGAAACACAATGAAAACAGTTTGGAATCCAGTCTGTCAACATTTTGAGCGTACTGAAGCTGAACCTGTTCTGTTTTGTATTGTATCTCCACCTATCACTTTCAACATCAATTTTATCAGTGCAAGGCCACAATGAAAAGTTTGACATTTTAAGTTAATCTGTAAATTATGACATTTTAAAAGGCAATCTTTTTTTAACAAAACAGTTTATTGAACCTCAGATAATAGAAAATCTGCAAGTATGTTAATCTGTAATTATAGTGTAAAATCTAAAAAGAATAACAGATTACTTATATTAAATAAAACACACAATATTATGATTATAAATTATAGTATCTATAAATAGTATGTCTTAATATGTAAATATGTAAAATAGCTTAAGGGGAAAAGACTGAGTGTAATGCAAAGGTTATTAAGAGATGTACAAACTAACATCCTTGTATTTTGCTAGTTTCTTTATTTGATACATGCAACTTTTCATCAACATATGCCATATATATATATATATATCAAGTAAACTTAGGATGCCTCCATCCATAATATTTATCTTTAAATACTAATGTTGTTATAAAACATTCGATCAGGTAATCTGTAAATCATGATATGAAATCATTCATTCATTTTTTTTTTCCGGCTCAGTCCCTTTATTAATCTGGGGTCGCCACAGCACAATGAACCACCAACTTATCCAGCATATGTTTTACGCAGCAGATGCTCGTCCAGCTGCAACCCATCACTGGGAAAATTCCATAAACACTCATACACTACAGAAAATTTTAGCTTACCCATTTTCACCTGTACCACAAGTCTTTGGACTTGTGGAGGAAACCGGAGCACCCAGAGAAACCCATATATACAGGGGAAAAACAAGCAAACTCAACACAGAAATGCCAACTGACCCAGCCGGGGCTCGAATCAGCGACCTTCTTGCTGTGAGGTGACTCCACTACCCACTCCATCGCCCTACAAACTGAATATTTGTTTTATATTCAGCATCTGTTACAATATGGAAAATCCAAACTAAAAAAAACATTTGGTGAGGAATAGATGTTATATTCTGATAGCTTAGAAAGTTTGTCACAGATTTTTAAGATACTTAATGTAAACCTATATGATAATCACACACTATGTTCTAATATTATGTACTAATTTTTAAATGTTTAATTTTAGGACCAAAACTCTGGGCCCTCAACTCAGAGGGGCGAAATCTATGCCATTACTATTGAATGTATAAATAAACATTCCTATAAAAGCCCATTTGTTTATCTAGAAATAGCAAGATTAATATAATCATTTAATCAACACTGTGCATGAAAAATACTGAAAGGAGAAATATTTTGTAGATTATACTATATTCATTTTACATAAGTTTTTTAACTGATATATTGGGCTTTAATTTCTTTATATGATATTAAAACCAGAGATCTTATAGACTATGAAGTCTAAATATGAAGAGTCGTTCTTCCTTGGTGGCTTGAATTTCCTGCCTGGGAAGAGAATTCAAGGATGCTGCAGCTGAGCCATGAATCACATCACTTCCTCTTTCTCAGCACAGCTTACGTCACACTCAAGCACACCATCACTGGGACTACTAATACAATGATGAATGGCTGGAAGTGTTGCCAATGTATGAGATCATACGTAATACCATACATTACTCAATGAGGATTTTGCTGGGTTGGTGACTACAATGAATACAAATGAATAAAACAGTATTTTTGCATCTATTCAATGTGAAAAACATTTTAACAGTGTTTAAACATGGATCTATATTTGCTTCATGGTAAACTCAAATGAGTTCATGTATTTAGCATTGTGTGGGGTATATATTAAGGGGATAGTAGACACACACCATTTATTTACTATTTACTCTCATGTGGTTCATATATATATATATATATATATATATATATATATATATATATATATATATATATATATATATATATATATATATATATATATTTTTTTTTTTTTTTCAGAAGAATTTTAGTAACTGCTCATTAATGCCACCAATAGAAAAAAACACTATTAAAGTGTCTAACATTCTTCAAACTATATTCTGTTGTGTTTTACTGACAAAAAGTTAAAAGAGTTTAGAGTTTAAAGCAAGAGTAAATGATGACAACAATTTGTGTGAACCATCCCTTTATGCGTTTGTAAAGCCAATAAGTGTATCAAACTATCCTCTGTACTTACAAAAAAAAAACAACACAGAAGATGTACAGTAGGCTTACCAGCACACACACGTCTATTTATCACTTGTCAGGCCTACACTAAGCTAACCAAAATGAGCTGTAATCTTATATTATGTAATCTCACTGAAAACGTTGCCATCGGGTGGTGTGATCCTTAAAATCTTTTTTTTCTTCGCCTTTTAAAAATAAAACGTAATCGAGGACTTTTAATTTGAAAGTGAGCTCAGCGTGCGCCTGCTCTGTTCGTTGTGCTGCTTGTGTGTGTCAGTCTGAGGATGTCTGACAACGCAGAATCTCCTACAGAAAACCCGAAAGATGAACATTCGCTTCAGCACGCTGTCACAGATCACTCTGAGTCATCGGACGAGAAGAAAAAGAGTATGTTTTTAGGATTGTATATAGACGACAAAACAAACGTTCATAGTTTTATTTTAAGTGTTTATTTTGAGCAGACTATCATCGAGCTACTTCCGCGATTTCTCATAGATTGACAGCTCTGTCAACCAATGAGCTTTCTATTTGTATGTAAACGGCCAATGGCTGTCCATGTAGGCGTGTGCTTCTCACGACAAGTGCGTGTGAGTTGTAGTTTTGTTTATTGGAGAAAATGCTAATGCTATACGCTAATTTAATCAAATCCAATGTTGCTCAACATTCTGCTGAATCATTCAACCTTAGATGATAAGATATTAGTAAATTTCATAAAATTTATTGTGTTTGTGTAAACCCATTTGTGAACCAATGGCTTTATCGTACTGTAAAGTAAGTTAACGTTCATGATTTTAATACAGCGTTCATCGTGCAGATGTTGTTTACATATAATAGCACGTTTTACCTGCTTTTAAATATTACTGCTATAATTTGACGTCCCACAGCATTTTACATGAGCTTTAGAATTGCGTTTTTCTATAAAATAATAGTAAAAATGTAAGTTATGTTTAGAAATTTCAAATGGTATATTAAAAAAACAAAAAGCCAGTTAAGTAAAGATTTTTCGTAAAATCCCTGGTCAATTACATTTACATGCCAAATGTTTATTTTAAAGAACAATGTTATACAATCAAATGAAAATTATCTGAATAACATGTTTACCTTATAATAAAAGTTTATTTTATATTTGTTTACAATTTTTTATTATTGAAAAGTCCCTGAATACCAATTAAGAAAGTTTTTCTATTCAATTCAATTTACCTTTTTTTGTATAGTGCTTTTGCAATGTAGATTGTGTCAAAACAGCTTCACATAAATAATCATAGTAAATTGGAACAGTGTAGTTCAGTTTTTAGTGTTTAAGTTTAGTTCAGTGTGGTTTAATAATCACTACTGAGAGTGTAAACACTGAAGAGCAAATCCATCAATGCATAGCTGTACCGATCCCAAACCATGCAAGCCAGTGGCGACAGCTGCGAGGAAAAAAAAAAAAAAACTTCACCACTTGGCGAAAGTGAAGAAAAAAAAACTTGAGAGAACACAAAGCAATATGGAATAAAATAAACAAAACACAGTAAATTATTTCCACTTTTCCACTTTACAAACTTATATTGTATGTAATTTGTAATAGTTTTTATCTGCATAAAACACACAGACCATTTCAATGTGGTGATGTCATTGGCCCATGAACATTACCTGCTTGTTATCAAACTATTTCATTACTGTAACAAGAGACAATTCAATCATAACCTTGTGTTAAAACAGCTGTCATAAGATTATTTATCAAAAGCGAAGTACGTTGCGACCTTTGTTTTTTTTTTACATCCCTCAAAATGGTCTATAGTCCACATCATCTGCTTTACTTGATTTTATTGTCCCCCCTCTCCATTTTTTAGTTGATGTGCTTTTAAAGGCGGTCGGTGACACACCCATCATGAAGACCAAAAAATGGTCTGTGGAGAGAAGGAGGACGATACAGTCACTCGCCCAGTTCATCTCACGCTTCCTCAAGCTGGAGCCCAGCGAACAGTTGGTAAGTTGTTTCATTAAAGAGTAGTGGAAAGACCACAGAAAGTATACTTTGTTTTTAAATTTGTTCTCATGTTTACATCACATTTAATAAAACTGATGGTTGCTTCTATACGCTTTCAACAAAAATATGCAATCTGTATTCTTGTAAGCTTCCCTCAAACTATTAAGTGAGAGAATAATTTCTGCAGAATACACTTAAAGCTAAATAGAGATGTGATTATTATGTTATGTGTTCTGTTGGTTTCTCTTGTTTTTTATGTTTATGTTTAACAGTCAATTATAAACCACACCAAATGCCAAAATGTCTGCCTGGTTTGTGCAAAAACAGGAATATTCTCATTAATCGTAATATCTAATATTAATTAATCCAATTATAGCACTAATATATGTACCAAAGATGATCAGTGGTTTTGTGTTTATTGGTGATTAACACATCACAAAATGCACTTAATTGTTTTTTATATATTCAGTACAAAAATTTAGACTGACAGTTTTTAAAACAAAATTTATTTAGGGTTAATAGGCTTATAAAAAATGTCATTTATTGTAACAAAAAGTTCTATATTAATATTCAAAGGTATATTTGGAACAAGAATAATTTTATTACACTTTATAAACCTCAAAGCTATAGATATACATCAAAGATATAGCAGCAACGAAACATATTCTTGTGGAATGCCCTATTTTTAATGATATCAAACAACAGTTTTCATCTGGAGAGACTTTAATAAATTAAATATTTTTATATGTTAATCCTTCTAAAATCTGACATTTAATTATCAAAAGTAAACAGTTTTAGATTTTTGTCTTGTATAGTATCATTATTGTTATTTATGTATTTTTTCTTATGTATTTATTGATGTTGATGACTTTTAATTGTTAGAATATTTTTATGATTATAGAAAGGGTTATTTATAAAATGTGGTAAACTTGGTCTTTTTTTTTTTGCTATGACATAGCCATAGAACCTGACAAGGCAATATACTCAAAATTCTCTCTTTATAGCAGCAACGAGAGCCAACATTTTATCTCGCCAAACAAACTAGCCTGACAGATGATTATCTATTACCAACCTTTTGCTTGGTGTATCCTGGCCTTAAGAATCACAGTGCAGCCACAAAAGCCTTTATACTTTACTACTATTTTTCAAACCAATAGGTTTTAATGTTTTGAGAATAAGAAGATTTTAAGCATTTTAAATATAATAGAATTTAATGTGATCACTTTTTCTTTTGTATATTTTTATAAGTATGTAATCATTTATTTATTTATATTTTGATTTTGATGGGAGCGCCAAAGTGGGATGTCTTGTCCTTTCGTTACAGTCATGTAAAGATTTTAGGAAACTCTACTGAATATGGTTTTCCATATTGAAGAAAATATACTTAAACTGTGGTGTCCTTGGAAGGTGTTAAAATTTGGAAGATAAAACCTCTAAATGAAAAATAACAGCACATGACATCTCATACAGTGTCATTGTTCATTTAATGAAACTCCACTTATTTTATTTATTTGTTTTTATCATTGAAAAATAGGATTTTTTTTACACCTCCTTGGAGTTAAACACTTACATCATTTATTATGATCAATGGAAGATGAACAGTTGCTATTTTCTAGGCTGATATGGCTAATAACTATACCCATATCTAGGCATAATACACACAAAACTTTACTGCTGTACAATAGTTGCAGCAGGCGCAATGATATTACACAGCACCTGGAAATAGTCCAAAGATAGGTACATAGGTAACTGCTTTATAATATCAGACAACTTTTCAATTTCTGTTAGTGTTAGTACGCAGTGTCACTACAAAAGAGTCAAACTTTCAATTGGAAAATTATTAAACTTCTATTTATTTATTTATTTATTTGAACAAGAAGTTAATGGTTTAATCCAATTCAGTGATCTATGCTTAGCTAAATGTGCTCCTGCCAGACCAGGAGATCAGCTGAATGGATTTAAAAATGGTAAAACTCAACTCTGTGGCATGTGTAAAATTAGCCAATTTTGGGGAAAAATGTGAAAAGTTCCTTTTAACAATATTAAACCAAGATAGAAAAGCCATGGGTTGCAAACTTCTGTTCAGATGACTGTAGATCTGCTTTTAGCAGTAATTACTCAAAAGATTCATTTTCTGATATGAAATAAAATTAAACACAAGAAGAACAGTGAGATGATGACAGTTTTTTTTATTAATAAATGCTTCATCTTTGTTTTTTCTTCCATCAGTTTATTTATGTTAATCAGTCGTTTGCGCCATCACCGGACCAAGAAGTTGGTGTGCTTTTTGAGGTAATTTTTCCCCCTTTATTGCCAAATGTTTCTCTGCCTCCTGTTGGCTTTTTACTCTTTTCCTCTTTTTACTTTTTTCACTCGCCATTTTGACAGTAGTGCAGCCACTGCAGATAAAGGTTAATTTTTAATAGTGTGTTTGGTTTAATAATACTAACTCTGGTGTGATTGTTCTGTATTATTTTTTTTAAAAAACATTTGTCAAACATCCAAAATGTGCACCATACTAATCAAATAAAAAACATTTAAACAAAAATACAACACAAGCAGAAATTTAACTGTGATAGAAAATAGGGAAACACTTGATATGGTATTATAGTTAAAACGACTCTTGCGCCAAGCTTAAACTAGCAAACAACAATTGCGTCGCGCCTTGCGCCACATTGCGCCGGGTGTATGATAGGGCCCTTTAAGTGCAAGTAAAATCTAATAAGACACCATACATTTGAACACTTGTGTTATAACTTATATGACGGATGGATATAATTGGTTGTTGGCATTTTGCAGGTCATTTCTTGTACACCATTTTAATGATTTGTCAAATTAACATCATTGTTGTGCTCTGTTTTACAGTGTTTCGGAAGTGACGGCAAACTAGTACTTCATTACTGCAAGTCTCAGGCCTGGGGATGAATGTACCGCTCTCTTTTTTTCTCTCCTATTTTTTGTCTCCATCATTTATACACATACATGTCCAATAACATCACTTATGCATAATTATTAGTTTTTATAACTTATTGATTTCCATGTCTTATATTTTGTAAATAATAAAGTGTAAATAATATTGTAAAACAGTTTATTTCTTGCCTGTTTTTTTTTTTTGTTTTTTTTAAAGAGCAGCTCAGGTGAGAGGAATGGCTGGAAAACATAAAAAACACCAAATACCTTTAGCAGCTGATTGTGATGGATGTTTTGAGTGTTTAAGCTCATGTTGAAGTGATTTACAGGCACAAGGACAGTATGTGATTCTCAGATTCCCAGTGATTACTTTTGCACAGACGGGGTTGGTAATATAATGTCCCAGGACAGAACGAGTCACATGTGAGGGGTGTGAAGAACAGGTGGGACAGAGGGATGTTTAAAAAAGGGTTGGATGGAGGAATGTAGAACAAGACAGGATAGAAAGATGGAGACGGCGCTAACAGATGGACTGAAGAGGGATTATGGATGCTCTTCGTAGAGTCTGACACTAATTTCCAAGGAAAGGCAGGAAAAGGAGGAGATTTGGGCAGGATTGTACCAAAAAAAGGGGAAAAGCTGAAATAATCGCAAAAAGGATAAGAAGGGAAACTGCTTTCTAAAGCAAAGAGACGACGACCTTCTGTGTTTAACACCTACACAGAAGGAACAAAAATACGACGATTAATGGATCGACATAGGAGGAAATTATTCAGAAGGACATGATGTAAGAAGATTAACTGTCAGGTAAAAATCTGCTTTTTCACGCTAAATAATATGTCGATTTTTATATAGAATGTTACTGCAGATACCTCTTTATAGTACAAATGTAAAAATAAGTGCTTTTATATTCATAAACATCGTTTGATGTGTAAAAAAACGAGAAAACATCTAGTGCCTAATACCGTTCTTATGGCATATAAATGCATGTTGCACTAAAATGTGTTAAAAGATTCTGCAAAACTTCGAAATGTACAGTAGTTTGGAGATTTTCCCATTAGGTCTTTGAAAGTGAGTTTTGTTTTTGTAACCTAAAGTAATATAGTCAGCTTTATTCCAATTTCTATAAAGCTCCAGTTCCTATTGCAGTTCTTATTAAGGATAAACATAAAATATGACTACCTTTAAAAAAAAAAAATACATGCACACCTACAAAGCCCAAACAGATTAAAACAGATTATTAAAGGATTACAAGTAACGTTAGACTTAATGCAAGGGCTTAACTCATAATTTCATCACGTAACTTCAAGCGTAATCCTTTGAATTCTCTCTCTTTTCTCATTTTTTAAATCCCATTCAGCGGTGTACTGAATGATGCGTTGGGAAACATCAATAATAGTTTGTCGTCATTTTTGTAGCATTATATAAACATGTTTGTATACCTCGTGTTTACAGTTCTGTGAGGTCTAAGGCCTTAAATGGGTCTTAATTCTTCCCTCCTACAATCAGTCTTAAACCAGAGCACAAAATCACGCACTCTTAAAGTCATGGCATTGAATGTTGCATGCTCTGCAAAAAGTAAATATATTCCTTGTGTATTATTGTCGTTTAATGCAATAACTATAGTTCTATCAAGATACATTTACTTAATAGCATCTTCTTTTTGAAGGAACTGTTTAAATTTTTCTGACCAACATTTTTTTCATATCTAAGTGTAAATTTGCTTTCCAAGTACTTGCATTTCAATTTAGGAAAATGTAGACATGTGCATTGAAGTTAAATATTTTAATGTGATTAAGCTGTATAGTAAAAGTGACTCCATTAATTTTTTTATTGCTAAATATTTAGATATTGAAGTGTTTTACTGGTTGAATGTGTGGTCTATAAATTTACATTTAGGGAGCAAATTAAACTATTGTGTTCTCTTCAGTATTCATTATTGCGTAAATTTGTAATTAGGATTTACCTTCACAAAAACTGCAGAACCATAATGTTATATATAACCTCTTGCAAAAACTAAGTATATAATTAACAAATAAGAGATTTTTTTATTTATTTAGTGCTGTCCTACTAAGCTCTTTTAACTGAAAATTCTGTCATCATTTACTCGTCCTTTACTTGTTTTAATCCAGTTTGAGTTTCTTCTGTTGAACACAAAAGAGAATATATTTTAGAGAAAGCTGAAGCCTGTAAACATTGACTTCTATAGTTTTTTTTTTCAATGGAAGTTAAGGGTTGCGAGTTTTCTTCTTTCTTCAAAATATCTTCTTTAATGTTCATCAGAAGAAAGAATTTCAAACGATTGGAACCAGTTAAGTAAATTAAAATAGTAGTGAGTAAATATTTTTTTGGATGAACTGTCAGCTTAAACCATATGCTGTTTTTTTCAGAAAAAAAAATCAGCTGGCAACACAATGTGTTAAGAATCAATTCAATTAAACTGGATGATTGTGGAAGGGCAGCACTAAATAAAAACAATATGATTTTAAGGCAAATGATAAAGGTGTCATTATTTTGTTCAAAAAAAAAAAAAAAATATATATATATATATATATATATATATTTTTTTTTTTTTCAGAATTTTTTACTTATTATAAAAATAAAAAGTTGTGTACGAGTTCTTTGCTTTTAAGTGTGGATAGATGTCTTTAAGTGTCATGCAGTAACTGTTGGAAATGGTTCAAACAGAAATATGCAGAAAATGAAGGATTTATCTGAAGAACTGTTTAACTGCTTACGATACACAGGGGATTCATGAACCCAAAAATAGATCATACACACACTCTAAAGTATGATTGGATTGTCTACATTTTGCCCAAGTTTAGATTGAAATAATCTAAAAGAGTAAATATTACAATGATATGGCAAGTAAAGCTTATGGTAAGGCATATGCTAGCGATATATATTTGATGTAGGGTTTGGGAAAATCATATATATATGTATGTAGCAATTTCTAAATTTACTTTGACATGTATTTCATTGCAGAATTATTTAATGTGTTCCTTGTGATTTATATTTATTTTTTTATTTTTATTTTTTCAAAATGAGCACATATTACAGTTTTGCTTCTTGCAACACATTTAAAAAAAAAGTTGGCACATGAGCAATTTAGGGCTATTAGTCAGGTACATTTGCAAATAATGCTGTGATTTGAAACAGGTGATGTCAACAGGTGATTGTAATTTTGATTTGGTATAAAAGCAGCATCCAAGAAATATCAATTCCTTTTGGAGAAAAGATGGGCACACGATTGCCTGTTTGCCAACATGTAAGTAAGAAAATTAATGAAATGTTTAAAAACAATGTTCCACAAAGAAAGATAGGAAGATATTTGGATATTTCACATTCAGTGCTTAACATCATTAAAAGAATCTGGAGGAATTTCAGTGAGTAAAGGACAAGGGTGCAAGCCCAAGCTGAACTACTGTGATCTTCAATCAAATGACAGTGGAAACTGTACTGTACTGTACCAAAAGGATCCCCTATGTTAACAGTGTCCAGAAACACTGAGCTCTGAGGCATTAGTGATGGACCATCACACAGTGGAAACGTGTACTGCAGTCAGATGAATTAGTATTTCAGGTATTATTTGGGAGAAATGGATGCCATGTGCTCTGGACCAATGAAGGAAAGGATCATCCAGGTTGTTACAAGCAACAAGTCCAAAAACCAGTGTCTGTTATGGATTGGGGTTGTGTCGGTGTCCTTGGCAATGATAACTTGCACTTCAATCATGGCATTAATGCTGAAAAGTACATAGAGATTTTAGAGCACAATATGATGTCTCTTTTCCTGGGACGCTCATGTATATTTCAACAAGACAATGGACATTCTAAGTCCTGGCTGCGAAGGAAGAGGATACAGGTATTTGATTGGCCTGCCTGCTGTCCCGATCTTTCTCCGATAGGAAATATTTGGTACATTTTGAAGCCTGTACTGTTGCCAACCTTAAAGACATGCTTTGCATGAAGAATGGGACTAAATTACACCTGAAAGACTTCCTCACTTGATGTCTTCAGTCCCTAAATGTTTTAAGTGTTAAATGGAATGGCAACATTACAAACTGGTAAAAACTCTACTGTTCTACTGTTTTTTTTTTTTTTTTAACCAAAAAGAACCAAAATTAGAAAACATGTTTATTGTGAATAAAATACAATTTAAAAGTCATGAGGAACACATTAAATAATATTTGCTGTATAGTTTGCAATGAAGTAAATCACTGCTTTTTTATTTGTGTTTTCCATACTGTACTAACTTGTTCTGATTTGGGGTTGTATTATTCAAGGGTAGGTACACTTTTGCACTGTTGTTTCTATTTAGGTCTAACTTTTTCCTAACATTTTGTTGTGTCTGCTTATTCAGAACACACTTGTATAAATAAAATGCCAAAAACTATTTCTATATCTTATTTTGTTAAAGTATTAATTACTATTAAATTCTGCATGGTTATGATTTATTTAACCCCTTTAAAAAGTTACTTTCTCAAAGCAATTTATATACAAATTAAGACAACATACAGTGGTGTGAAAAGGGGTTTTGTGATTTCTTAATGTTTGTCACACTCTAATGTTTCAGATCAAATCAAACTAGTTTAAGAATTTGCTAAGGATAACACAAGTAAACATGTAATGCAGTTATGAAATGGTTTTCATTATTAGAGGAAAACCCCCAAACCGCATTGTCCTGTGTGAAAATGTGTTTGCCCCCCTGTTAAAACACAACTCTCTAGTCACACCCAGGGCAGATTAATGCTTAATCTGTTCGCAATACAGAAATCACTTAAATAGGACCTGCCTGACTAAGTAAAGAAGACCAAATGACCCTAAAAGATAGACTTTATGTTGAGATAAAAAGGAAAAAAAAAAGAGAAATAAACTAATCTACCAGTCTTGAAATTATGAACTCATTTCTAAAGCTTTTAGACAGCAGCAAATCTACAAATGGCAAAAACACTGAACAATAGGGAACCTTTCTACAATAACATCCAAAGACCTTCAGGCCTCATTTGCCTCGATTTCATGATTCATCATAAGAAAGAGACCGAGTAAAAAAAGGTTGGTATGGCAGAGTTTAAGATGAAAACCACTAATGAGCAAAATAACATAACGGCTTGGTGATTCCCAAGACTTTTTGAAAGGTGTTTGTCTCATGTATGGTGTAAAAGTAACACCGAATTTGAGAAACAGAACATACCAACAGTAAACAGGTGGTGTTAGTATGATGGGGTGTGTTGCTGCTTCAGGACATGGAAGACCTGCTGTGATAAATAAAACCATGAATTCAAATGTGTACCAAAAACACCCTGATGGAGAATATCCCGATATCTGTTAGAGAAATCATGATTAAGCAAACTTGGGTTCTGCAGAAGGACAATTACCCAAACAATACCAGCAAGTCGACTTCTATATAGCTGAAGAAAATCAAAATGAGGACTTTGGACTGGCCTAGTCAAAGTCCTGACCTCAATCCAATTAATATTTAACGGTATGTGGCTAAATTATAACAATGGCGAAGATGATGGGGCAAAGTTTTTCCACAGCACTGTAACAGACTCATTAGGTTCAACAGGTTATTAGGCTCGGGAGCAAACACTTTTTCACAAAGGGATATGTAGTTTTTTTTATTTAGTTTTTCCTTCAAAACCTTCATTTCAAAATTACATGATGTGTTTACTTGTATTATCTTAAACTAAAAAGTTTATTAGTTTGATGATCTGAAACATTAAAGTATGACAAACATGCTAAAAATAAATAATTAGTTTCTCACCACTATACAGTAAAGATGTGTCTAAAATTCAAGAATTTTTTAGTTATGTGATGTTTTGGTTGCTACAAATGGTTATAAGAAATTAACTTAATAAATAATATAAATAATAATAAAAATAAATGAAAAATAATAGGCTTTTTAATTAATTTCAAATTAATAATTTATATAATTATATGCTGCTGCCAAACGCATGTGAGGGAGTGAAGAAATTATAATCTAACTTTTATAACACTAAAAAACCTCTCCATTCCCTTTAAAGTGATAGTTCACCCAAAATTGTAAATTACTCTCTTATTTGTTCATCCTCAAGAGTTTCTGTTGAACACAAAAGGAGATATTTTGAAAAATGTTCAAAATCGGTGACCACTGACATCCATATAGGAAATACAAATACTATGGAACTCAATGGTTACTTCTTTTAGCATTCTTTAAAATATCTTCTTTCGTGTTCAACAGAAGAAAGAAATTCAGACTGGTAAGTAAAGGGTAAATAAACAATAATAGAATTATCCCTTTAGGTTGTACTGCCAAGTACAGCGTTTAAATGTATAAGCCTGTAACAAATGTTGTTCTTCCCTCTCTTATCAAGGTTCTTCCCTTATCTGACCCTCTCCTTTAATAAATCCACATCTTCATTTATCCTACCATCTGCCATAGTGATCTCTCTTATTCATTTCTGCTTAATACCATTTTCTCAATTCCTTTGTCATCCCAGAAGACATATTTTGCTTAATCATCCCGGATTGCCCTTCATACAGCCAGCTCTGCCTTCTCTCTGGTTAGCATGTTGGAGCACATGTCCAGACGCTCTCGTTCCCTGCTCTCTCTTATCCTGACCTCCCTCGCCCTCGCTTTATCTGTGCTGGCTTTCTGTACGTCCTACTGGTGTGAGGGAACGCACAAGGTGGTCAAACCTCTCTGCCTTTCACCTGTCAAGATGAAGAACTGCGGACAGAACGACAGCGAGCCTTACACTACAGGTATGACCTCATGTCATATTACTGTTTGATATTTCCTCTGTAAAAATAGCATTCTGGAAACACGAGTGTGACATTACCAGAAATATTATTAACTTAACAATAAGAAGTTTTATAAACAAAGTGGTTGAGTAAATGACTCATTGATTTAAAAACATAATAATTTACTAGTATAGCCTGCTAAAACTGTTATATCAGTTGTATGAATGTTTAAAGGGTTAGTTCACCCAAAGATGAACATTCTGCCACTCACCCTTGTGTCATTTCAATCCGCTGAGACCTTACAATTGAAAAGATATTTTCAATTAAGAGCACTCTGTGACATCAGTCTTTCAACTTTAATAATAAAAACGACAGGAATTACAGCATAATACATACATAAATACATTATATTACATACAGTCAGCAGCGAAACACACAAGCTATGACACTATAAAACAATGGCTGGCTCTGCATTGATTTTCCAGCCTGATCTCATGAGAAAACATAAGTATTTTATGTTTTGCCAGTTTAGTGGCTAATTCGTACAAATTCGTATGAGTTCAGTCGTGCGAAAATGTACGATTTTAAAAAGGCGGCATGGCACCTAACCCCACCCCTAAACTTAACCATCATTGGGTGATGAGCAAATTGTACTAAATTGTACGAATTAGATTGTACGAATTCATATGAATTAACCACAATATCAAAAAGTTACGAATTGCCATGAGATTGTGTTGGATTTTCTTGAGCCCAGTACTTTAGGCATACTGTATGTACCCTGCAGGAGCCTGCACTCGGCTACCGAACATTGCTTTGTTCCCAAAGATGCACAAAATCAGTCTCAAAGACGTAACCTTTAATGTCTCACTCTGGTAGAATGACTGCTTAATCTTACTTGAGTATAATTTAATTGTCCAATAAATAAACTCTCTATGTATTTTTACACTACCCTTTTTTATAAAAAATCAACAACGATCTACAAATGCTCAAATTAATGTAATTGTGTAATTTTTTTGAAGAATTGTACCTGACTAAGTAGTTAAATTGTGTTTTATACTTTTACTCAAGTATATTTTTAGTTGGGGCAACGCAGTGGCGCAGTAGGTAGTGCTGTTGCCTCACAGCAAGAAGGTTGCTGGTTCGAGCGTCAGCTGGGTCTGTTGGTGTTTCTGTGTGGAGTTTGCATGTTCTCCCTCCGTTTGCATGAATTTCCTTCAGGTGCTCTGGTTTCCCCCACAATCCGAAAACATGTGGTACAGGTGTATTGAGTAGGCTAAATTGTCCGTAGTGTATAAGTGTGAATGAGTGTGTATGGAGGTTTCCCAGAGATGGGTTGCACCTGGAACTGCATAAGTTGGCGGTTCATTCCACTGTGGCGACCCCAGATTAATAAAGGGATTAAGCCAAAAAAAAGAAAATGAATGAATATTTTTAGTTTTGTATCGGTACTTTTACTCCACTTTTTTCCTTCAACCTGCAATGACTACATTAAATATTTTCTTTTCTTTTTTTTTTTTGGCTAAGTACAATATTAAGTCCTGTGATTCTGGCAGCTAGCTCTCTGCAACTCACATGGTCGCCCACTAAAGCTTGGTTGGATCCAGAAGTGTTGTTAGTGAGACCAGCAGGAGGCACTCAACCTGCGGTCTATGTGGGTCCTAATGCCTTAGTATATTGATGGGGACTTTACACTGCTCAGTGAGCACTGTCTTTCGGATTAAACATTAAACTGAGGTCCTGACTTTCTGTGGTCGTTAAAAATCCCAGGAAGTCCTTCAAAAAAAGTATGGATTTAACCCCGGCATCCTGGCCAAATTTTCCCACTAAACTTTGTCCATCATGGCCTCCTAACCATCCCCATATCATAATTAGCTTCATCACTCTGTCTCCTCTACACCAATCAGCTGGTGTGTGGTGTGAGGCCTGGTGTAATATGGCTGCTGTTGCATCATCTAGGCGGATGCTACACACAGGTGTTAGATGAGTAGATTCCCCAAAAAATGTGTAAAGCGCTTTAAGAGGCCAGAAAAACTCTATACAAATGTAAGGATTTATTGTTGTTGTTATTATTATTATAATATAATCAAATCATGCATGGAACAATCACATCAGACAGACAACCTCAAGACAGAGACGCAATATAAATGCAGCGAACAGTACATATTTCTGGGAAACATTGTGCTAATCTGAGTGTGCTTTACACATGTGAGTAGGCTTCTCAAACTGTTTGTTAGACACTCTCCCCTTTCCATATGCATGAATGAAAAAAAAAACTTTAAAGTACTAACTTTGACAAGTCACACATTCATGTACTGCTGCACTCTAATGATTTGAAGTGCTTCTTTTATCCTCACTTGTAATTCACTTCAGATAAAATGTCTGCTAAATAAATAAATGTAAACATTTATTAAACATTTAAACAAACATTTTTTAAACATTTAAACAAAATGTAAACTTATCAAAACATTCATTTGAGTACTAAATGATCAGATTCAGTTTATAAATTTCAATGAAATTGTGTTAAATTAGCTAAATTATATCTTCAGTATAGATCAGATCTCTCATTTTCAAAAGGAATCTGAAATATGGCCATACAGGATAAGGCAATAATCAGTACGTCCAAGCAGAGAACATGTTAGTAATGTTCTGCTAGTAAGCAAATGGTTAAAAGTGAAAGTTAGTTACCCAAACTAAAAAGTTACAACAATTTTTGAAGACATTGGTTGAGTGAAAGAATCAATGACTTGTGATTTATAAAATGGTGGCTGCTTATTGGTGAAATAATGTAGCCTGCAGAAACAGTAAAAAGGCAAATATTTTGAATGATGTGATTAAGTGCATGACTCAATTCATATTTCTTCATAAAACAAGATTTGTTTATAAAACAAGACAATGAAATAGAAATTGTCTGACTAATGCTCAGTCATCTTTGTGGATTCTGTAATTTGTATGTAGAGAAGCAAAGCAGTTCAAACAAATAATGAACTTCCCCAAGCAACAACCCACTCATTCAGGTGGCTATCTTGTTTATTGGTTATCTTTTTTCTCAGAAAGCCCCACTCCGGACCCACGGGGCCCATTACCAACATTATCAACAAAGCGGAGAGAGGAACTTGCCAGGATTCGCCAAAGGCAATTAGCCAATGCAGTGCAGTACATCTGGGAGACGGGAGAAGACAAGTACACCTTCAGATATTTCCACACAGGATTCTGGCAGTCTTGCGAAAAACATGCTGATGGTAAGAAAAAGTCTCATGAAGAGAATTAAAATGAAAGAGTCTGTCCCTTTGCCATTGTCTTTTATAACTTCTCATCTTTTCATGCATCGACTGCAAAAAGAAATAGGCTTGACGTTTATGTTGCTCTTTCCTATACACTAGCTACTATAAAAACTGCAAGCTTAAATGAATTTGCAAAGTGCTACCATATCCACCTCATTGCCAACCACCCAAAAAATCTGAACAGCAGGTTGCCATAAAATTTAAGGTTCAGTCAATATTTTAGTTGTATAGGACAAAAATATCAAAGTAGTGATTTTATACGCATAATGTGAACAGCCATTATGCTGCTGAACAACCGAACCTTATATTGTGTAATCATAAACCGTGAGATTTGGGTTTACAATGCACACAATCTTCCGGTAGATTGTGAATTGGTACCTTGCTAAAATAGTATAGAAATCGCACAGTGCTTACCCTAGGGATACCTAGGGAGAAAGCTGAAGTCGGTGACCTCTGCCCATTGTAAGATGGTTGAGGGTGAGCTGGTTGAAGATCTGGAGCAGTGTGACATGAATCGTTTAAACTGTCTGAAACTATCATGCCTGAGCAGGGGTGGACTGGCCATCCGGAGCACTAAGACATTTCCTGGTGGTCTGATGGTCACTCTGGCCTGCTACGCTGAATTTGGTCTGCCCTTTCCTCACCCCACCCTCTCACCCCACTCTTCACTCACCAATCACTACAGTGTCCTGAGGTTCAATAACTGTCCTGGGCAAAAACACTAACCCAGTCTGCTCCTGTGCTTGAGTGTAGTCCTCCTGAGTGTCTCAAATGCCCGAAATCATACCCTCTCCTTGCTCCTTTCTAATGTTTTCTGGCAGCACGTCCACTCAACCCCGGGTTCATCATGTTGTGTGCTTGCCGCTGGTCTGCCAGTCTACATTGGTGTTTCAGTTGGAGGATCCCTCATCTCCACCTACAGCTTTAGAATACTGGACTCTAGCTTGGTGTGTTGTCCCAGTGGCTACACTATGGCTTCTGACTCTTCTTCTCAACCATTACCCATCAGTTCACTGGCTTTACTGTGCTCTCTTGTCCCTACGGTCTGGTGTTAACCATCCTGCACCTTAGGATTTCCCTCCTTTGGCTTTGCCTCATCCTTCCAACAGACTCTACTATCCCTCCAGCTCCACCTCAGTCCTCGGTCACTCTTCAGGGCCCCTCTACATAGATTGATAATGCCATTGGCTCGCCCGCAGGTCTCCAGTTTCTCCTAAATCACCTGATCACCTTGAATTATTAGCTTTTGTATGTACCTCGGGCTCCTGTCCCACCTGCTCTGCTAACATCATTCGGCCCTCTGTAGTCGTTTCTCCTTCTCCCTCTGTTGGCTCCTTCGTGGATCAAGAAAGGATGTGACCTCGTCTGACTTCTCCTGCTTGAAGTCCCTGCAGTTTCCACCCAGTTCCTCCAAGTCCCGCCAGTTATACCTTTGGCTGCTCCCACTGTCTAGTCTGCCCTAGTCTCTTTTGTCATCTCCTGTGCTCCTCACTTTGCCGTTGCCTCCTTGGTATTCTCCTTTAGCTGTTAAACTTAAGTCTCTTCCCTGGACCCTTTCATCATCTCCACTTCACCAGCCCTTACCAACCACCCCCTGCTTACCTTACTCTTGAATATTGCTGATAGTAACAAGGAAGCACCTTTTTCGGTGAAGGGCATAATGTCAGGATTAGTGTGGTCTTCTTTGTGTTTTTGTTGTGTCCATGACCCAGTTTCTTCCCATGTTAAGTTACGTGTTTCACCCGGTTTCCACCTCATTTACCTGATTATACCTTGTTGATCATTGTTGTTTTCCTCTTGTGTCTCTGTCAGATCTAATTTGGCCCATTATCACTGAGTGGTATAGTACGTATGGTCGGTATGGGTCAACTTTATCAGGCTTGTCTTTCCACTGCCAAAAGGGTACCAGTAGTATGGTGGGTATGATGTATGACAAAAAGTTTTAGTCAACGTCATTTTCGCTCAAGGAGTCAAATTAAAGCTGTAGCCTACAGGTCGTTCACATATCATATGAGAAGTACTTGTCATAAAACTTAAACTCTTGTAGGACTGTGCAAAATTATTGATATATCGAACTATCGCGATAATTTCTTTCACGATAGTTTATCGATAGTTCAACCTGAAGTATTGATTCATGTTGTGCCAAACAACCTCCTCCTTTGCTCTAGTAGATGTCGCTAACTCGCAATCAACAAAGCGTTAAATAGTATGGTATCAGAAGTGAGCAAAGTGAGCATGGTGGAAAGCTTCCGTCTGCCTTAACTAACATTGCAGAGTTACTGAAAACTGCATAGGAGGAATGGATCATCAAATGAAAGGACCTGTTGTTGAAACAGACAATGCGTCAAACATGACCATGGCAGCACAGCTGGCTGGCATGTTGCATGTAAAATGTTTCGTGCATGCTATCAATTTACCTGTAACTTTTTATATCACAGCAAAATGTTCACAATGCTGTCAGTCACACTGTCAGTTTCTAATGGTGTACCGCATATTAGAGCACTGTGTTCCAGTTTTGTTTACTTGATGCATTTTAATTTTTTTTACTTGCTTTAGTTTTATAAATTTCATTTATATGTGACTTTAGTGGCATATTCATTTTAGTTCCGTGTTTAATAACAATATGCATTTAATACAGTTCAGTGAGTTTTCTGTTCAATAACACTGTGCAGTTCTAATAAATTGAAATGGAAAAAAAAATAAATTGGAATTGGAATTGGAATTTTAATTCGTCTGCTGACTTTATCAAGTTGTCAGTATATCATGACACACATATTAATACAAACTATTGCAATATATCACAATATTTATTGTATCGCAATATCGATCACGATTGAATAATCAATCAATTATTGTATGGTGACCCATGTATCGTGATATATATCATATCATGAGGCCCTTGCCAATACACAGCCCTAAATACTTGTGTATAAATGTTCATTACTAACTTTTCTATAAACATGATTTGATTAAAACTGCAGATCAATGACTCATGCACACCTTGTCATCATCAGCTCAAGAAGATCGTTATTTCAAATATCGCACTTTTAGTCGACCTTGTAAAACAACAACAGGACACGGCAGATTTTGTCCTTCTTAGCTTTGTGGCTGTTCATCAAGACAACAATAAGGTTTGTTTGAGCTCTGGTTGACCATGGCTTATTACTACATATATGTATATATTATTTCGGTGTAATGTCTCGGCTGTGTTTTTAAAAATGGCGGTGCCTTTGTTTTCATTCTCCTGGCTAAGCACTGACTATGCTCTAGTGACGCTTCTCTGTAAACCAATAGCCTTCGGCTGCAGGTCTAGCTCCGCCTTTTGTACCCTTTCGTTGTTCTAGGTACTCTTTGCAAAGGATACCCAAAAAGTGGTACGGTACGGTTTGCATTTTGGTACATTTTGACAGTGAAAATGACCATAAAAGCATACCAAACTGGACCGAACCCTACCTCTCAGTGGAAACAGGCCATTAGTGACACTAATGATACTGACCGTAGCAGTTTTCAATCCATCCAAAACCAAAAGAAATAAATGTTTCTCTAGAAAAATTGAATGGAAAATGCTGTGAAAATATCCTTGCTCTGATAAGCATCATACAGGGAACATTTAAAAAATAATGTAAATTTCACAGGTGTCTTAATAATATTGTCTTCAACAGTATTAGTTTCTGCCTTGAATGGAAGTTCCTGAACCAAAGAAATCAACCCAAAATATTAAATGTAGTAGGCAAGTTTAGAAAAAGGTGGAAATCCTTCCTCTGTCAAAGTGATTGTATTGTTTTAGACATTTAATTCCATTGTTCACTCTTGTTAATTTTGCTACATTTCAGGAGAACGATGTCGTCGGTTCATGGATCTCACTCCTGGAGAGACTCATGGTAAGATGATTCCTGCAAAATTATATAATGATATCATAGTAATTCATTCATTCATTTTCTCTTCAGCTTAGTGCCTTTATTAATCTGGGGTTGCCACACCAGAATGAACCGCCAACTTATCCGAAAGGGGTCTGGCTGCAGACCTGGTGCAGTGCAATCTGGGCTGCATCCAATGCTTTTTAATGGGCTCACCTAACCCCACCCCTAATCCTACCTGTCACAGTGACGTCACTAGCTTCATTTTAGATTGTGTCTGACATTGCATCGCTGAGTGATGCAGTCTCAGCTTGCATCATAAAAGCTGCATCCTGATAGTATTGACTTATCCAGCAAATGTTTTTCGCACCGGATGCCCTTACAGTTGCAACCCATTACTGGGAAACATCCATACCCACTCAGTCACAAAGATACACTACGGCCAATGTGAGCCTGACTCTACATGCGCTCAAATAAGAGAACATTATATGTTTGTGCTCCTCTCTGCCTGCTGCAGGTGTGCTGTGGTTGTCAATGGTCGCAGAGTTCATGTACATCAGTTTGTTGGGCATGGGCTTCCTGCTTATGTGGGTGGAGGTGTTGTGCGCCCATAAAGAAATGCATGCGCTCAAAATCAACGCATTCGCTGCAATGTGCACTGTGCTCTCAGGTAAGAGACCGGTGTAACAGTTCTCTCTTGTGGTACATTTGGGTAATGCAGTCTTTGGTGATAATTGTAGGAGAGTGATATTTTGTTGAATCACGTCCTATGTTGAGTGTAATTAATTAGTTATGAAGGTAACTAGCTAGTGTACCGTACTGTAATTATATTACTTATCCACTCTGAAAAGTAAAGTAAGGGATTATTCATGTTTAGGTATTTTATGAACAGTTACTTATTGTCAGTTTTAGATGTTATTATTTACAAAGTAACTAGTTACAGTAATTTAATTACTCATCCACTGAAGGATGAGTAAAGGATTACTACTAAGTTTTAAGAATTTAAGTCATTCTACTTGTTATCCACATATATTATGCAAAATCATTATTTTTTTAATCAAATAAAGTTACAATTATCACAGTGATTGCCTAAAACAATAAACTAAGACATTAGTCAATTACAATATATTGCATGTATGAAATATGGTGTCTGCTTTGAAATGTTACCTGTCATCATGATACATCCATAATAATATGTTTAACTAAAAGGCCATATTTGACTGAAATACTAATAAGTAATAAGTAACAATATTTCTTTTTCATTAATTACATTATTTTCAGACAGTAATTACACAATTTAAATCATGTGATGAGTAATTAATTACTTTTTAAAGTAATTTACCCAACACTGTCTATGTCAAATTTGGCTTCCATGTTTCAGGATTGTTAGGGATGGTGGCTCATATGATGTACACCACCGTATTTCAGCTGACTGTGATTGTGGGGCCCAAAGACTGGAGGCCTCAGACGTGGGACTATGGCTGGTCATTTGCGTGAGTACAACATGTAATTACAACCTTTAATTTCAGTTTGCTTTTCTTGTAGCTCAACAATAAAAAAAACAAACAAAACGTTACATTAAAATAGAAATGACAATCTCTGACGAAGGTATTCCCCAACACTTTCCAATCATTTTCTTTCTGGCGTGCCAAATCAGAGGATATAAAGGGCCAACTTTGGACGCGGAGCCCTAGTTTAGGCATCTCTGATTAAGGAGAATAACATTTGTTTTTTACTTTATAACAGTGTTGTAATCTGTCAGCCATTGTGGGTTTATATTACAAATAATGAGGCATAAATTATAAAATATTATGGTCACCCTTTATTTTAAACTACAAGTCTCATCTAAAACCATGAGTTTACTAAAATAAACTCATAATTTGATGCATATTATTAGGTATGGTATTTAGTTTTAAAATAGGTTTTAGACTTTTATAAGTAGTAGTTAGGTTTAGATGTTAGATAGGTAGAATTATGTTGAATAAGATCATCATGAATGAGTATAAGTACAGTTAAATAATCAATATCTTAATAATAGATAAGTACTGTAATAAGCAACTAATATGACTAATGAGAGTTTGTACTTAAAGGGATAGTATTTACTCTGGAACGAGAGTGTAGTTTCCTGACATATCAGCTTAGAAAATAGCAACCTTTCACTTTCTGCAGCCTTAGTACACAATGTAGCTACAGACGAGTCAAACTATAAATTTAACATTTTTTAACACAATGCTAATGGTCTAATCCGATTCAATGATCTATGCTAAGCTAAGCTAAAATATCTCAACTCAGAGATTGGCTGAATGGATTTAAACATGGTAAAACTCAGCTGTTTAACTTTTTAAAAGTTGTTAAGAGAGCTTAGAAGTGTCAGTCAGAACTGTGGGAAGAAGCTGAATCACATTTATCCAATTGCATAAATGAGGCTCAGGAAACAAACTCTGGTCACACTTTATGTTGATGGTTCTTTTGTTGAATTTAAATTACATTGCATCTGCATGCCAACTAATTCTCATTAGATTATAAGTAGACTGTTAGGTTGGGGTTAGCTTGGGGTTAGGGTTAGTGTAAATTGACATGTGCTTGCAAAGTTTTTTATAGTCAGTTAAATGTCTGTTTAAGGAGCAGTATTAACATATATTACGCAGACAGTCTACTAATACATAAATGGACCATGAAAATATAATGCTACTCAAACTCTTGTTAACTTTTTTAACATCCCACTTCCTTTTTCTTGGTTGCTTTTCTCACATCTCTTCTCCCAGGCTAGCATGGGTGTCTTTCAGCTGCTGCATGGGCGCTGCAGTCATGACCCTTAACTCTTACACTAAAACAATCATCGAGAGGCATCACCGCCAGAGGCTTCGGTTAGAGGAGGCCCGCGCCACAACACACGCTCCATCCTATGATGAGGTGGTGCCGGGGGGCGGCCTGTACTCCATTAGCGGCCTTTTACAGTGTCCCAATGGGATGATTGACTCTGTGTGGGCATCAGATGGGAGCATGGGACTGGTGCAGCAGGGGGATGTGCCCACTCTGGTACTGGTTGGAGGATGCGGATCAGATTCGTGTGAAGACTGCGAGAGAGAAATGGACGAGATGAAGCTGACCATGAATGGAATTGACTCTCCTTGCTAAAAGAGGATAATGTGAGTTGAAGTGTTAGTTCATCCAAAAATGAGAATTCTGTCATTTTAAAGGGGTTCTTGATTATGGTTTGACTATTTTATGTTTAGTTAGTGTGTTGTGTTGCTGTTTGCTAAACAGCATCCTCAAAGTTAGAGCACTCAAAGTTTAAAGCTCAGGGAGGTAATTTATTTTACAGAATTAGGGTTTTTTAATACTTTGTGACATCACAAATCTTACAATTTTACCTAAACCCCACCCTCAGGCCTGTCTTTTTAAAAAAAAGTGTATTATGTGGTCAGCCAATCAGAACACGAAGGGCTAGCTGACCCATCAGACTTTTATTAAATCTGCGATAATATATTTCAAATGAAGGGTTATTTTAAAATCTAGTGAAAATCCAGCCAATATTATGATGTTTTTAAAGCTGGAATCAAGTTTGGGCCAAAAATAATAAATCAAATAATATTTTGAAGAGTGAAAAATGAAGGATAGTAAATAATAATAATAAGTTGAAGCTAGTTAATATAGCTCTAAAATTCCCTGCGTGTTCAATACAAACTCACAAGCTGGAGATCAATATCTAAAGTATTAGTAATTTATTAAGTACAAATAGATAATTTGATTAGGATCTTGGGTCACTCAAATATGTCCTATCAGTTATACAATGCTATCCAAGAGGACACATCAGGCACTCTGCACGTGCCTGCACTGCACCCCTTTTCTTCACAGAAGAACTGAACAGTTAAATGCACATGCTTTGAGGCCTCCATAGGCCCCAATATGTTTTCATAAAGGATAACTCATATAAGCATTCCACTTTCAGCAAGCATGTCTACATTTTTGGTTACACAGAAAATCAGAAGCGAGAGACACATACTATTTTTATTGATTCTGCTGCGTCTTTCTTGTCCAAAATAGCTCCTTCTGAAAAATGCATCATTAGTAAGCAAAACATATCTCACTCCAAGAAGAGTTTTGATTAACGTATCATCTGTAATGCCAATAATTTGACATTTCTTTAGGCAAAGCATACACAATATATATATATATATATATATATATATATATATATATATATATATATATATATATATATATATATATATATATATATATATAGTATACATATATATGATATGTAGTTGAAGTCAGAATTATTAGCCCCCCTTTGAATTTTTATTCTTTTTTAAATATTTCCTAAATAATGTTTAACAGTGCAAGAAAATTTTCACAGTATGTCTGATAATATTTTTTCTTCTGGAGAAAGTCTTTGTTTTATTTTGGCTAAGATAAAAGCAGTTTTATTTTTTTTAAACACCATTTTAGGGTCAAAATTATTAGCCCCTTTAATCTATATATTTTTCGATAGCCTACAGGACAAACCATTGTTAATAATTTGCCTAATCACCCTAACCTGCCTAGTTAACCTAATTAACGTAGTTAAGCCTTTAAATGTCACTTTAAGGTTTACAGAAGTGTCTTGAAAAATATCTAGTAAAATATTATTACCTGTCATCATGGCAAAGATAAAAATAAATCAGCTATTAGAAATGAGAAATGATTATTAAAACTATTATGTTTAGAAATGTGTTGAAAAAAATCTTTCCATTAAACAGAAATTGGGGGGAAAAAATAAACAGGGGGGCTAATAATTCAGGGGGGCTAATGACATGACTTCAACTGTATGGATATGTATATATTTTCTTACAGTGTTTTATTATTATTATTATTATTATTATTATTATTATTATGTGAATTTCAAAACAACTTGCTGAAACAAAATTTTTGGGAAGAAAGAAAAAATACTGGTTGGTGATAATATAATGGGTAGGCTCCACCTTCCTTGATATAGAAGTCTTTATTTTAGTGCCACTTACCAGACATTAAACTTCTGTACTCATCTGATACATCCAACAAAATATTGCCAAATTTACTTATAATAGATTCACAAAAGAAAAAAATGCATTAATCAATTGATTTGAATTAGACATTTCCTTTCCAAAAAAAAAAAAGAACCACAACATGCTGTCAAGCAATTATTTATTGTATCCTCTACAGCCACAAATTTTCATGACACTGTGGTTTTTAAGAAACCCACGTCCTAAATGGAGGAAAGAATAGTCACACGTTAAAGGACCATTTTCCTTTTAATAAACCATTAGCTAATACTTTTAGCTCAATAAATTAATAATAAATGAATAAATTACTGCTTAATAACAACTTAAGCTTAAAAGTTAATTTGTAGTAATTAGGGAGACAGAATACGATCATGCAGAATGCATACTTTGTAAAAAAAAATAAACAGCCAACATCTTAATAACAGGCAGGTAAAAAGCCACTACAGTGAACAGTAAGAATTGGTACTTATCTAAGAAGTACCAAAAATGCTGCACAAATAAACCAACAACTAAAAATGCATCCATTCATTCATTTGTTCGTTTTCTTTTCGGCTTAGTCCCTTTACAACTAAAAATCATGGCAGTAAAAAACAGCAGCTGTAGTTATCAGTATTTTACAGTTCAAACTTTGTAGAAACCTTAAAATAAATGTAGAAAATGTACATAAAGGATAGTATTTCGTTAATATATATTAATACAGTAATACATGCACCATTGAAACACTATTTAAATAAACATTATTTATCAAAATAAGATGCAACATAAAACTCTAATATACTAATGAGAAAATAACTAAAAATACCCATACAGGCTAATGTCATTCAGGGAATTCTGGCAAAGTCATTTTACAGTTATTCATTATTAAGCAAAGTTACTTTAAAAATGTAGCACATTTCTACTGTAGCAGTTTTGTAGCATCAAATGTTATTTATTTTTAGTCAAAATCACAACCTTTTTTACAGTAGTTTACATGAGAGTGAATAAATAATGTCTGTTTTTTATTTATTATTTTTTTGGATGAACTAACCCAGGAGGTTTTTACAAAAAAGGCCTTGTGCTAACTGACAGACTAGTGAAAATGGTGTATGGAGTGTCTCTAAGTTTTTTTCAGGTATTTGTGTGGCTGCAATTCAGTCAGTATGAGTAAGAGATATTATGTAAAGAGAAATGATGTCTCCATTATTGTGTGAAGCATGCATTGAGTGGATTTGCAAGAGTAAAGATTGTGGGAAATTAAATGTATATATTGGAAGGTTTGCGCCTCCTGAGTGGATTATACTGAGACCACTAAAGCCTGTATTATTTAAAGCTATTGATCACATCTGTTATATTTGAACAGAAAGGGTTTTTCCTTTACTGTATCTTAATCTTTTGGTGTGGAACTTTAACTCAAACCATCAAAAGTAAATTCGTATATAGAGTACAAAAAAATACAGCATTTTTTTTTTTTTGTAAAACAGTGTTTTATATACTTTGCATATATGTAAAATTATTAATATTACACATACGCACCTATTTCATGAAAATCATCAGATGCCATTGCTGGTGTACACATTTTCAAAACCATTTCATCATTACAAAATCTAACATTTTTTTTTAAATGTCCTCCATTAAATTGTGCTTTTATTTGTGTCATGTGGGGTTTCTTTCATTTCTAACAGCAAAAATAAAGACACAAATATTTGTTTTTGTGATAACCAAACCATTTTAGCCAAATATGTGTATGTTTAATTTTAAAAAAGTAATGATACCCCCCAATACCCCCGACCACACTCCACCCCTTTTTATTGTGTAAGCTGCTTTAATTTCTTCAATAATTTGCAAAGAGAGACAGACTACAAAATCAACCTACAGAGGGCGTAGTCCTCACAAAATGACACGTTGCAATTAACTAATGGGCAGAGAAATAAAGGATTTCTTGTATTTCAAAAGGAATGGGCAAAAATACAATAAAATGTGTGTGTGTGTGTATATATATATATATATATATATATATATATATATATATATATATATATATATATATATATATATATATATATATATATACATTTTATTTTATTTTTGCCCATAAATGTACTACAAAATACAGCAGCAACAGCAAGTATTAAAATAAAATACTGTATTTTGTATATTGAAAATACTACAAAATACTTAAGGGAGCAAGAGACCTATTGGATTCTTCTCTAGCTTCTCTACCAACTTATTGCCCTCTACTTCGTTACATGAGGAGGTATTTATAAACTTTTGTTTCTCTTAGATTTTAGTATAAAATTTGTACAAATTTTAGACAGAAAGTCCTGTCTTAAAGATGATTTCTTTAAACACTGTAAAAACGATCTGATGCAGATAATGAGTTACTGTAGGAATGAGGAACAAACTATATCTCTTCATCCATTGGATGGCCAGTAAAATTGCCACCCTCTCTTAACAGTCTTACTGTATATATTAAAAGGATGATATATAAAGAGTTTTATTTTAATAAATTTATATTGTTTTTTGCAATTGTACTATTTAATGCACAACATAAAACATGAAATCTCTAAAAATGGAGTCATCTGTTTTTGCAAATAAACTCTTCATACATATCTTGCTGCAGCTGTGTAACAGGAGTTTGGAGTTTTTGACCAGGCTGTATTGGCTGGAGTATTCTTACTATATTTGTGTCTACAAACTGTATTGTGGCGACGTGGTGGCGCAGTAGGTAGTGCTGTCACCTAACAGCAAGAAGGTCCCTGGTTCGAGCCTCAGTTGATGTTTCTGTGTGGAGTTTGCATGTTCTCCCTGCGTTTGCGTGGGTTTCCTCCAGTTGCTTCGGTTTCCCCCACAGTCCAAAGACATGCGGTACAGATGAATTGGGTATGCTAAATTGTCCATAGTGTATGAGTGTGATTGAGTGTGTATAGATGTTTCCCAGTAATAGGTTGCAGCTGGAAGAGCATCCGCTGCATAAAAAAAGATGCTGGAAAAGTTGGTGGTTCATTCCGCTGTGGCGACCCTGGATTAATAAAAGGACTTAGTCAAAAAGAAAATGAATGAATGAATGAATGAATGAATGAATGAATGAATGAATGAAAGAATATAATGTATTTGCCACTTTGACATCTTTAGACTATTTTAGGTTTATTTTAGACTACTTTAGGTATTTCCACTGTAGGACTATGTTGTTTGTCAATCTTTCAACATCAGCAATCCATCTAAAACTATTATTTGTGCAGTTTACTCATACTCCTAAGAGATTTTCAGTTCCTCAATAACTGGAAGAGTCTCAGTTTACCCCCAACACCAGTACACAATCTTTATTTCTAAACTTTCTCTGCACTGCATTCCCACCTGCAGGACTGAGACTGAAAATAATTATGTTCTGTAGGCTCCATATTCCTGTTTTTGGACTAACTTCCATCAAATTTCTTAAGCAAAGATGCTGATGCATTGCACACTATACTGCCATTAAATATTAAAGGTCTACATAAAGCACCTTCTTCATTAATAATCAATTTTGTGGTCTGATTTCAAGCCTATAGGCAAATAACCGAGAAAGCATCTGAAGCCGCATTTTTATGATGTCATCATGTAGACTTACAAAGTATTTTACAGTATTTTAAAATACAAAAATACAAGACACTAAAGTATTTTGATAAAAAATATTAATTTTCATAAACCCCAGCAAATACAAATTACTGAATACAATTTTGTATTTGAGATATGTAATTGAAATACAATACTGCCCATCCCTGTATCTCAATCCATTATTTTCCCCTTTAAATTAATTATCATGAAGGTTCAAAGAAAAATAGACAGAAAAATATCATATATTGAAGAGATGGGAATGATAAGTGTAGGAAGAGATTAAAAAAGTCTGGAGCATGATTATGTCAGTTATCTGAATTTGAACTTAAATCAAGAGGAAAGAATGGATAGTAAACTGTGTTATAAAAAGATTATAGAAATCTCAACAAACATTGCAATCAGGGATGTATTGGTAGGATTTTTTTTTGCCAATACAATACTGATTATATCAGTACTGATTTTTACATTTATCTGTGTGCATACAGTACATTTAGGGCACAACATTACTACGGCTTGACAGTTTGACACACAAAAAAGTTAATCCAGGATTACGAGTAAATATTGCCACAAGCATGTTAAACCTCTCACAACTAGCAGACCATTAGAGATTAATGTTCTCCCTAGTCCAGCGGTTCACTTGCACTCTTCACCTCAACAACAACTCAACACTCACACACAGACAAAGTAACGCCTCATGACATGTTTGATGGTTTCAGTTTTAATCCACAGCAACTGACAACAAAAAACAAATCTGCATAATACAAATGGTAAACATTATTGGCTATATTGTGCTATCATCCTGGATGATAAGTCAGTTTGTTTTTTTAAGCACAGCCTAAAGGCTTATTCACCCTCATCTGCATTTACCTCTTTTGCAAGAAAAACTCGACTTTTTGGTTTATGAAGAAAAAAGGGTTTCCTTACAGCTTAAGGGTGTCGTTATAATGTAATCTTTCAGAAATTCTTCACTCTACATTTGTCACACACATTTCAACACGTATTTCCAGAAGAGACAATTTACTATCAGTTTATAATCATTATTAACAATGACATTCTGCAATCTATCATGACTCACTCAATATTGGACACTCTCAGAAATAAAAGGTACAAGAACTGTCACTGGGGTACCTTTCCAAAAGGTATGCATATGTACTTAAGGGAACACTTCATGTTTTTGAAAACACGCTCATTTTACAAGTCTCCTGAAGTTAAACAGGTGAGCTTTACCATTTTTAAAGTCATTCATTTGATCTTCCGGAGAACATATAGCTTAGCTTAGCTGGCAACACTTTATTTTGATGATTCAGTTGAGTTTTAGTAGACTGTCTGCCTAATATCTGTTGATACTGCTCCTTCAACAGACAATTAACTGACTAAGAAACTTTGCAAGTACATGTCAACTTACACTAACCCCAACCTAACAGTCTACTTATAATCTAATGAAAATTAGTTGGCATGTAGATGCAATGTAGCTTAAATTTAACAAAGGGACCATTAAAATAAAGTGTGACCGCTTAGCTTGGCATAAAAATCACTGAATCAGATTACACCATTGCATCTCAGTCAAAAACAAAAAATAGATCATTTCCTTAAAGCTTGACTCTTCTGTAGTTACACTGTTTACACTGATTGAAGCTAAGCTAAGCTAAGCTAAAAGACCCTGGGGTTGGATTATTTACTGTTTAACTGTAGGTGACTTGTAAACTGAACCTATTTCCAATTAAAGTGGAGTGTTCCTTTAAAGGGTCCATTTCAGCACCTTATTGGTACATAACTAAAAAGTACAAAAGCCTACCTTTTGTATTTTTAGGTACTGATATGTACATTTGAGGTTACAGTTAAAGTGGGAAGCATATGGCCAAAGAACAAAAATAAATAAATAAAAATCAAATAAAAATACATGCTTTATCATTCTTTTTGTATTATTTCTTCTGGTGCTCGAACTGAATAAGGTGGATAGCGTCTTCATTCTCCAGAATACCTTGAATAAACTCGCCCTCAGCCAATCGCTCTGGAAGAGAAAGAGAAAGAGGTGACACACGAGTGTAGATTTAGCATGGACGAAGAGAGCGTCCCCACTAATAACCACTGTCTCCACCAAATTCTCTTAGAAATTGCGCAGTCAACATTAACCTGGACATGCAGAAAAGGTTGAATCACATACTTTACTCAAGTCCCGCCCCCCAAACACATATGAACATTGTGATTGGCTGAGCCTTTTCTTGCTGTCATGTTCAGATGTAACAGCGCCAAAACTAGGCAGGGGAATTCTCCCGTGCAAGAATAAGGTGGGTGAGGTGGGTGACAGGCAAGTGAGGATGGTGGCAATTAAAAAAAGGTGGACATAAGGAGCGTTTTTAAAAAAAAGTGTGTCACATAAGCTCAAGTTCGCTTCTGAATACTGTACATCATTATAATAGTACCATTAAGGCTAGTGTTTTTTCCCACTTTGACACATAATCTAACGTTATAGCAGGCTGATATAGTCTGTGAATAATATAGTCTGACAACTAACTGCACAATAAACTGCTAAATGTAAAAGTTTAAATAATATGATCCCTGTCAGTTCTTCTAATCTCTCAGAGTAGCTAGCATTCGAATTTTGGTTGAACTTATTTGTCAAAAAAACTACAGCCTGTGCTCTATCTACTTTTATTAATACGGATGTATGAGACATACATAAATTATTTAACATTCCTTTAACATTATACTGTAGCTTAATTTAACTTAACAAATTGCATTGAGAGTGGATTAAACTATTCTGGAGGGAGTTCATAGGTCCCCACCAATGTCAGGAGCAAACCTACGACCTTGAGGTGACAACACTTAATCGTTTAGCGGTGGTGTTTTACATTATCACGATACCACAATATTTTTTAAAACCATAAAATGTGACAAGTAAAAATATAAATGATTACCGTTATCCTTTTTATTGAAGTACGACCACAGTTTGTCTGCTCTCTTTTCAGGAGTGTTCTCATCGGCTGGCAGACTTTCTTGGTCCTCTTTGGGAATCAGCTTAAAGATAGCCTGGAGATCAGCAGGATGGAAGAGAAGTGGAGATGATGAGAGGAAATAAAGGACAAAAATTTATGTGCTAAACAATCTAAAACCTTTCTCCCTCATGTACATTTATGACTAGAAATTTGTAATGATGTTGAACAGTGAAAACCTTGGCTCCGAGTTAGTCTGCTTGTTTATTTGTTGACTGTGAACATCTTAGTGGAGGATTAGCCAACCATGAGGTCAGGGTTAGTATACTTAGTACGCACATTCTTGTGTTTATTTAGGCCCTGTTTTCCCTTGGTAATACTGTTTTCTCAGTGATTCAGACATGGTTAGCCAAAATATATTAACATTTACTCGATGTATTCATTTAAACATGTCTCTTGTGACCATTATTCTCAGATTCTTCAATTGCTTTCCTATTTTTCAGCACACTCAGTGTTATGCTTAAGTACTACTAAATGGCAAAGCTATTTACGTGTGAACAAGCAAGCAAATGAAAAGAATTTCCAACTATATAGTAGTAAAACTTTGTGAAAAAACAAGTATGTATAAATTTGAAAGTGCAATAGATACCAGAAAGCAAATATTATAGGTATCTAGTCCAGAGAGTGTGTGCTGTCTCACAGCATGTCTTAAAAGATCATGGTCAGTTTAGTCGCAAATCCAATGCAACTGCAGGCAAACACATTTTTGCAAGTGGTATAAAATGAACATTTCAGTCTCCATATACACGGTTGTTGCTAGATTGAATATGGTTGCGGCCGGAAGTTTATGAGAATTATTTATAATATTATTAATAATTTTCCCATTTATTTTATTTTATTCACGTCTACCCCCACCCAACCGTCACAGTAATGTAAAAACAGTAGTTGTACCGAATAATATTTATGCTATCTATTAAATTACCCAACAAATGTTTTATTTTTTAACACCTAACCCTACCCCAAACCTAAACCCAACCATCACAGTACTGTAAAAATATTATTTATTGTTATACAGTGACATATAAAAATCCAGCCGGCCAGGTATCCGATCTAGACTTTACCCATTTACAGTTAGATTTAGTATCTTCCATTTACACTGATGAAAAATATTAAGTCCAGATGTAAACAGGGTCTTATAGTCAGAAGAATGTCTGCTGAGAGACCATTAACATAAAGTACTAGCTTATGTAGGCAGCCTACGAATAATTTTATGATTCCCAGAAAGTATAGGACATTCCAATTTGATTTTTTGAATTGTTTTGGAACCACTATGAATATTCTTTGACAAAACAAGGAACATTTTGAGGCATACTCATAACATTCTGAGGACTAAAAAAATTGTTTGCTGGCTCGTCGTGATAGGAGAAAAGTATCAAAGCTTTTCCAAATGATTCCCTTTTTGAAGCTTTTGAAACCCCAGGGACACCTGCTGGTCAATACAGTGTAAATGACATGTTACGCGTGTCTTTTTGAATGGGGAAAAGTGTAACTGTCAATATGGTGAATAAAGCCCCGCCTACTAGTACAGGAGCCAATCATTGATCGCTACATGGTGAACAAAGCCCGCCTTCTAGTACAGGAGCTAAAAATTATTCGCTTTAGACTAGAGAGAGAGGTGCTAGGACCAGACAAGAGTTTCTGCAGATTTTGTGTGATTTGGACGCTTAGAAATTAAACTACAGAGATAGTTCTTGTTTAATTTCATTGCTGATTCCTAATAGGAAATTCAGTCATAAATTTGGCAAGCAATTTTGGAGAATTTGATGTTTCCCCATTCAAACAGAATGCCCGAGTATACTGGCCGAGAGACATTTTAAAGATAGCCGCCGAGTGAAATGTTTGCCTTTAAGGTACTTTGGTTTTATATACTAACAGCAAACATATTATTGAAAGTATAAATTATTTTATGTAATAAGCTAATGATCTAATCTAAAAACTCTATTACTATCAACTATTTTTATTCTTTTAATTCTACAAATAGTATTAGTAACATTAATAATCATTAACATTACATTAAGAAATTTATTTTAAAAAAAAAATTTACATATTTGCTGCTGAAATGTTTTGAAATCTTATTGCGCAATCGCCCATTTGTGAAATTGCAATGAAACCTTGTTTACTGACATCTTGTATTGTTGGTATTTTGATTCACACTCCGAATCTCTAAGTTTAAAAAAATGATACATAAAGGTTTCAGAGCTTCATAAAGCAGTGCCCTGAAAGCAGCCATTACTATATGAAAAGTACATATATTGAAGTGTTTTCAAAATGAAGTGTTACAAAAGCAGCTGAAGCCATTAGTTAATTGGGAGAGCCAAATAAAGCACCATCTGTACTTCAACTGGAGGTAATCATCAGAAGTAGGACCACTAATGCCAAGGGTCATCAGCATTGACTTTAGTTTTGCCTGACCACAGATGACCTGGATCTTAAAAGACCAGTTAGCTAAGGAGATGTTTATCTCGGACACGTAAGACACGTAAGAATAATACAGATTAGAGGCTCCTGGCAAAACCACACACTGGCCTCAGCGCAGCTCAGTCTTTAATACTGGCACGATGACAATGACATTTACACTTATAAACCAGCAAATCAGTGATCTCAAAGCCTGAGTGTAAGGTCAATCTTGATGTGTCATTCTATCTGTGTTGGGATGAACAGTAATACTTTGGTTTGATGGTTCACTTTAGTTAATTGGGTGAATATAGATAATTTTTAAAATACAGCTTTGAGTTCTTATAGTAGACTTTGCGCTCAATATCTGAAAATAGAAACCTGAGAATGCTAACTTCTGAAAACTGGTTTCTAAGTGCAGTCGTTGCTCTGATCTCAGTGGAAACTACAAATATGTAAATTTGCTAAAATGACTGACATCAAGTGCATGTGCATTATAGATTCAGTCATATCACCTTATTCTCTGAGTACGAGCAGGCGCAGCCATTTGAATCTTTTTGGATCGAAAATACCGGTCTCATTCACTTCCTCACGTTTTTAGACGTTAAAAACAGCTTGTTCTGCTGCTTGATGCTTTAAACTGATATTTTCTTATTATATGATTCTGCTCTGTGTAGTCATGCAAACACTTGTTTGTAAGGCAAGTAGTTTGGCCGTTTTCTGTGGTTTATTATTCCTAGTCATTTCTCCTATAGGCAGCTGAATCGGAAGTTCTAAAACAATCGGAAAAAACGAACGCACTTCCGCATTTAAGACTAAAGTCAATAGGCCTGCATGAGTTCTTGACATAACTACAATGAATGTTGACTACAGGACTGTTTGTGTGCAGGCACATAGTGTTCATTTACCATGTGATATCGCCAACTACTGGTCTGGAGCAAACGATACAAGTTCTTTCACTCATTGTCGAAGATCTGTGTGAATGGGGATTGTTTTAACAGTGTTTGTATAGGAATGTTATCAAAATTGCATTAGATAGACGTTTATGTTTTTAGTATGTTGTTGTGTAAATGTAGCTGTGGTTGGAAAGTACCAACAGAATGATTAAAGATGACCATTAGAGTGTAGCCAGATGAATGTATTGAAATAAGTTAATTTATGCCTATTCATCAAAAAGGAAAGTGTTTCTCCTGCCCAGCAGTATCTACATTGAATATTTTTATACATTAGTAAATTGTCTATGAATCATCGTGAACATTAGCTCTGCTTACATCATTGAATTATAATACACAACAGGGCAGTTGAATGCTTAATTCTGATTGGCTGATGAAAGTTCTTTAAACAATTTTCATATAAACACACAGCTAAATTAGTCCCAGGCAGCTTTTGTCTTCATTATAGTTCTATATGACTTTGCCAAGGGATTTCTGATATTTCCAACGCAATCCCACAGCAAATCGCACATAATAGTGGTATTAAGTATTTGCAGGTAAGTTATTTGATTATAGTTTGTAAGCATGCCTCCTTTTAAAAATCGTACATGTTTATACAAATGAAAATGTATGAGTTTGTATGAATAAGACATCTTTTTCTGATAATAAGTAAAATAGTTGTTTCCTCGTGAGATCGGGCTGGTTATTCACAGTTTACAACTGTAAACAATCAAATCAAAACAAATGAATTTGGATAAGGAGGCACGGTGGCTCAGTGCTTAGCATTGTTGCTTCACAGCAGAAAGGTTGCTGGTTCTAGCTCCAGTTGGGCCAGTTGACATTTCTGTGTGGAGTTTGCATTTTCTCCCCATGTTGGCATGGGTTTGGTGTTCCAGTTTTTTTCCAGTATATGTGAATTGGGTAAACAAAATTGGCCGTAGTGTATGAGTGTGTGTGTGAATGGGTGTTTTCCTGTAACGGGTTGTGGCTGGAAGGGTGAGTCTGCTGAGTAAAACATATGCCGGAATAGTTGGTGGTTCATTCCGCTTTGGTTACCTCTGATAAATAAGAGACTAAGCTGAAGGAAAATTGGTCAAGGTTTTGGATGAGGTGCTTTAGAAACTAGACACACATGATCAATTTCTGTCCGGTCAGTTATTTATTACCTGGCAGATGCACCTTATGGTATTGTAAGTGTTAACAAGTTTTTACTCTTTATGACTCTTTACATGGTCCCTGGACATCACCAAAGAATCGTCTGGCAGGTGCAATTTAAGCCACTGTTTACTGTGACTTCTGTGACCCACTTATCCAGCATCTTTCTAAAAAAAAACATTTCACACTGTAATCCCCACACCCACCTGTCTCTGTGCTAATGGCTGTCTGCATCAGAAAAGGCCTATGTGTACGGTTATTGTTCACGATAAACCATTTATCGGATGGCTTATTCTGGGATCGTCCAATTCCATTAGCTATGTTCTGAGGCACTCAAAGCTGATAAGACGTTTGGCTTCTTTCTTTATAGCGAGGCCTTGTGTATTGCTTGTTTTCATTATTGTTGACTGAAAGCGAGGTTCCCTGATTAAATGCAGACAGTGAGATTAAAGAATGATTAAAAAGTATTGATGTGAGCACTGTATTGGGGATATTGGAATGAACTGTCAGAAGGAGGAAAATGTCACAAGAGCTGAGATTTAATTTATGATTAAAAAATTCAAAATTCGTTCAGATTTGTTTACAAAAAAAAAATACTCTGGAATTTATTCAGACCTCTATAACGATAAGAATGTATAATAAAGTCTATATAAAAACAGTTACATGAGTAACATTTAACAATAACATTCATTTATTAATATTAATGAATGCATTCATAAACAAAAAGCAATACTTTTGTTACAAAAATTATTCAACTTTTGAAACAACAAACACACAGTTAGCTCAGTTTTTAAAATTATTTTCTAATATTATGAATAAAATTGTAATTGTTAATGCTGAACGAATTTAACGTTAAATTCGAGTCAATTTAAAAGTTAACTATGAATAATAAATATACATTTGTGTTAACTACACTGTTCATCAGAAGGTCATGATTCACACTCATTAAACAATTACTTTGTATAGCTTTATTTTACATTCGTAGGGGATACAAAACCCAGACGTTTCGGCAAAGAAATAAAGCTATACAAAGTAATTATTTAATGAGTGTGAATCATGACCTTCTGAATAACATTATTTACTAGATTAATGCACCAAAACATTTAAAAATGCGAGCGTGCAGTGCAAACTTCATTACTGAACCACACTGCTAACCCTTACTGTAGATTATGCGTTAAATAACTGTAAAATAGCCAGTGTTTTGCTGTAATAGAAGGAAATAGTATTTTACTGTAAAAAAAAAGAAAAAAAAGCCCAGTAAGGTCTAACAGTGTAGTTAATTGAACAAATGAAGAGTTTAGATGCAAAAACCTCTAAAAGCCATCTGATATTTTCTTCTACAATTAGCATTTTTCTCCGACTCCTGAGTCTAAGCTCAGTAATTTTACTTTTATAGTGACAAATAAGTTATTTACATTGCCATTAAAGTGAAATAACTGAACATAAACATAGGAGGCTGACAAAAATGGTCATTTAAGGAGAACATTTCAGATGGCATTTACAGTTTTTTGCATTGGAGCTTTTCAAATGCTTCCCTATTGTAAAGTTTTACTAGAAGATTTTAACTGATTTTAACTTTGTTTTTAGAACAAGGCCTGGACAGGCCTTGCAAGTTGTCACATCTTTAAGAAGTCTATTCAACTGTTTGGTCAAACAGGTATTGTCTATTATTAAGCAGATTGCACACCAGAAGCGCCGCTCGGCGCCGCGACACGGCGCACACATGACAGTTTACATATCACACACCAGACGCGCACATTCGAATGATATTTAACATGAAACTAATCAACTAACATGAAAAATTAACAGCGTCCTGAGCCATGGCCGGGCGCCACCGACAGCCGCCGACTTGCGGCGCTGGTGTGTGTATCCTGATAGAAACCTATGTTTAGAATTTTAAAATGCATGGCCCTGCGTGGGGCTCTGGGCGCGCCGCCGAGCGGCGCTTCTGGTGTGCGACCTGCTTTACAACTTGCTCTGTAAGGCAATGAATAATGTGACAACATATACCAAATAGCGTATAAAACCAAGTTATTATATTTATTTAGGGAAAATGGGGCTAGTTAGAACAGTAACACTTTGTTTTGATGGTCCATGTGGTATTAGTAGACTGTCTGCATAACATTTGTTGATATGCTCCTTTAACAGACATTTAACTGACTATAAGAAACTTTGCAAGTACATGTCAACACTAACCCCAAGTCCAACCTAACAGTACTTTTAATCTAATGAGAATTAGTTGGCATGTAGATGCAATATAACTTCAATTTAACAAACGGACCATCAAAATAAAGTGTGACCATTGGTTCAATGTGCATTCAATAACATTCATCCTGGAGAGTTATGGTGACAAATTTTATTAAAACATGTGATGACAAGCCCCAGTGTAACTATAATAGCTATAATTACTTGTATATAATGTTGAAGCCACACAGCAGTGCCACAGTATGTTTGTAATATTACAGGTATTCACCAACATTTGACCTACCTGGCAGATTTCTGCAACTTCTGACTTGGTTATGTAGCCATTTTTGTCGACATCGAAGAGTGAGAAGGCCCACTCCAGCTTGCGCTCCGTCTTTCCGGTTGATGTCATATGTAGAGCGATAATGTATTCCTTGAAATCCAGCGTTCCGTCATCATTGGTGTCAAAGGAGCGGAAGACGTGCTGGGCGTATGAGGTGGTGTCGCATTCCGGAAAAAAGCGTTCGTAGATCTTTTTAAACTCTTCAGGTGTGATACGGCCAGACGGACACTGCTTCTGGAAGTTCTCGTACCACTGCGACAGTTCGTTCTCTGAGAATTTGGTGTTGAGTTTGAGATCCTCCAGGATCTCCTTGGACATAGCACTGCTTTTGGCATTCCCCATTTTTGAAGGCTTGTGGAGAGCACAGGCAAGGGCTCAGAAAGATGTTGCTCTTTTCACAACCAGAGACACTCTGTATGTGCTGTAGCTGCTCTTGTTGGGGTGTGTTCAGATAATCTCTTTTTTATTGGGTGTCTGCAATTAGTGTCCCATAAAAACCTTGCTGCTCGTTTTCCTTTGGAAAGCACAGTCAGAAGTTACTCCAGAGAGTTAGCAGAAGAAGACTGGCATCCGTTGTTTTGCAGCTCTATGATGTGCGGGGAAGAATTAGTGTCATCTGCTGATGCTGAACCTGATGGGAGGGGGGATGAGCAGGGGTGGGGCAGGTTAACTAAGGCTGTTACCTTTGAGTGCACGTTTAAGACTTTAAAGAGGGATTTGACATGGCTGAGCCTCTGAGCCCAAAATGAACAGACGGCCCCCTTTCCACAAATGATTACTGTAACAACCCAGATACAATCTATCTGTCAAACACTTTTTTAATTTTCTCTTTTAAACAGTGCAGTTATAACATTACAAGAATTTGATATATGGCAATACATGCAAATAACATATATGACATAACTCTTTTTCACACAGGGCTGTGTAGTTTTGGTTTTGTTTTCTTTTAATAGCAACCATTTAAAACCACAAGATGTGTATAAGATTTGTGATATGTGTATATAGTATAGCGACGATGCAGTGGTGCAGTAGGTAGTGCTGTCGCCTCACAGCAAGAAGGTTGCTGGTTCCATCCTCGTGGGTTTTCTTTGGGTGCTCCGGTTTCCCCCACTGTTCAAAGACATGCGGCACAGGTGAATTGGGTATGCTAAATTGTCCGTAGTGTATGTGTGTAAATGAGTGTTTATGGATGTTTCCTATGGGTTGCTGCTGGAAGGACATCCACTGCGTAAAAACATATGCTGGATAAGTTGGCGGTTCATTCCGCTGTGGCGACCCCTGATTAATAAAGGGACTAAGCTGAAAAAAAAATGAATGAATGAATGAATGAATATATAGTATATATACAGGGGTTGGACAATAAAAATTAAACACTGGCCAATTTAGTGTTAGAGGTTTCATGGCTAAATTGTACCAGCCTGGTGGCCAATCTTCATTGGTTCTACATTCTCTCTGTAAAGCTGCTGTCAACATACATTTTGTGCCCCATAGACCTTTCAAGTGCATTAAATGTGGCAGACCAAAAACGCAAGCTTGTGCGACAAGTGTCGCATGTTGCTGCATTCTAAAGTTCAAGCTTGGTGAGCTCTGACCTGCAAAATCACATCATTTGATTTTGTGAGAACAATACAAGACCAAAAATGTGACCTCTCTGTACAGAAATTTTTAAATATAGAGCGATCGCTCACATTCTGTCTGATCATCTTGTTCAATCCCGCTCATTTTTCGATGTGCCATTCGGAATTTCACAAGAACAAACTCTAGACTGCAGCTTAAGAGCAGTGTGTGAAGGTTTGATTAGCAGAATAAAAAATGTTGCAAAGCTCACAACATTAAGGGTGACATATCAGAGTTCAAAAGAGGACATATTTTTAAAGCGTGTCTTGTTGCCGCATCTGTGACCAAGACAGCAAGTCTTTGTGATGTATCAAGAGCAACGGTATTCAGGGTAATGTGAGCAGAACACCAAGAAGTAGAACCACATCCAACAGGAGTTACTGTCTGAAAGGGATGTCTGGGTGCTAACCTGGATTGTCTCCAAAAAAACACAGCTGGCCAACCCACTGCAGAATTAAATGTGCACCTCAACTCTCCTGTTCCACCAAATCTGTTTCTCTGGAGCTCCACAGGGTCAATATACATGACCGGGCTGCTATAACTAAACCTTTGGTCACTCGTGGCAATTTCCGTATTATTGTCAATATATAAACAATGAAATATAATAAAACAATGCAAAACTACATTCTGCACACATTACAAAGACCTGGCTGCGGAGGAAGAGGATACAGGTGGGCTACCCACAGTCACAACCTGTCTCCAATAGAGAATGTGTGTTGCATTTTAAAGTGCAAACGAAGGTCCCGTACTTTGCCCCACATATATGGGAGTCACGGTGGCATAATGGGTAGCACAATCGCCTCACAGCAAGAAGGTTGCTAGAGTTTGCATGTTCTCCCCGTGTTCGCATGGTTTTCCTCCAGGTGCTTCAGTTTCCCCCACAAGTCCAAAGACATGTGCTATAGGTGAATAGGGTAAGCTAAATTGACCATAGTGTATGTGTGAATGAGTGTGTATGGATGGTTCCCAGTGATGGGTTGCAGCTGGAAAGGCATGAGGTGTAAAACATATGCTGGATAAGTTGGTGGTTCATTCCATTCATGCATGTTTATCTACATAGGCAGTGTCTAAGTGTATCTCCAGTGACGATATACAGTCATATTGCACTGCTACGAGTGTGATATTGCGTTTATACAACATTTCAACAGCATTATAGAGTATAGTAAAAAAGAAAATCAAACACGGAGAGTCTAAAAATCCTTTTGTATGAGGAACTACTTTCTTACACCATTCATCCACATCTGCAGCTGACATCAGAACGCTCTGGTTACTAAAGTAACCCTCGTTCCCCGAGGAGGGGAACGGAAATGCTATTAGTGGATTTCATTTAGAAAATCCACCTATTGGGAGGATTCGGTTCAGAAGCCACTTGTCTGAAAGAGTATGGAGCGGGGCAATGAATGCCAATGAATTGGCAGCGTAAGCTTGTGTGCACGTGTGCTTCATTGCCAATTAATTCCGGATATAAGCACAGGTGAAGCAAGCATTTGCTATCTTTTTAAGCTGAAGAGACTTTACTAACAAATAAGGGACAGTCATTATGGTGATGGTAAATAGCATTTCCGTTCCCCTCCTCCGGGAACGAGGGTTACTTTAGTAACCAGAGCGTTCCCCTTCGGGTGGGGAACTCCAATGCAATTAGTGGATTTAATTTAGAAACTCCACGTATTGGGAGAACTATGGAAAACGCCAAAATGACTGCACCTTAACAACGCCTCAGATGAGAGGATAGTCAAGCAAGTGTGACGCACCCACATCATGGGAGGCGCGGTCCTCCAACGTGTCCCTGGCCCTAACTTATCCCACTTCAATGGAAGTTTTACAGATTTAGGTATATTTTTTGGTCGTGGGCGTCTAGATAATTCTAGGAAAATACGACTACATTGGGAAGCGTGCAATCCCGATAGGGAGGATGCTGTGGAGGCCATCCGCTACCCAATGGGGGAGATAAGATGGCAAGATTACATATGGACTAGCCCTAAGAAGGGGGAGTGCGCATAAAGAAGGTGGTTAGCGGAAAGAGAAGACACGGGTCCACCCGAGAGGGGGGACTGAACTGTGGCAGAATAGGCATATGGGATCACCTAGTGGGGATCACGCATAGCAGGGACCTATACCCAAAACGCGGGCTGACCAGCGGGCAGACCTACAACGTAGTGGGCCAGCAAGTGACTCCTCCGCTAAGTCAGTGCTGGGGGCCACGGAGGAATCTGCAGGGCTCACCTGACGGGGAACTTTACTGACAGATAAAAAGGCGGACGTATCTCCGTGTTAGGGAGAATGGCACAGCAAGCGTGTTTCAACAATCTACAGAGTTGTTTTCTATATCACCAAAGGGTTACCTAATACCCTTGAGGAAACCGGCTCCACTCGCAGATTGTAAAACCTTGCAAATGTGTTGGGTGTCGCCCAGCCCACAGCTCTACAGATGTCTGTTAGAGAGGCGCCGCGTGCACGCGCCCAAGAGGATGCGATGCTCCGAGTGAAGTGCGCACGCACTCTTGGGGGACACGGCTCACCTCGGCTCTGATAAGCGAGAGAATGGCATCCACAATCCAGCGGGATAATCTTAAAGAGCCCATATTATACATGAAATAGGGTCATATCCTGGTTGTAAGGGTCTCCAACAACAGTCTAATATGCATGCAAGGTCAAAAAACACTTTCATGGTCTTATAATCTGCATTTATTTTTACCTAATTATCCCAGCGACTCCTGTATGAATCGTCCAGTGATTCATTTGTTCCCAAACCCCTCCTTAGCGCGGAGCTAATCTGCGCTGATTGGACCGATGACAGTCTGTCGCGATTGGTCGACTGCCTTCAGTCAGAGAGGGAAATGGCCAATAGCTAATCAGCAATTTAAAAAGTAATCACAGTTCATACACGCTCGATAGTATAGACGTGGATTTTAGCTGCCACACTATGGCGAGTGGATAGTGCCACGGATAACCGAACGAAGGAGACAGTCGTGTACTGGCCATACCACACACACACAAAAACACACACACACCTCCGGATGACAACGCTCCCGCTTCCGCCCGCACCCGCCAGGTTTTAGCCTGAGAACCCGCTCCGTTTTCTGCCCGCCGCGCCCGGTCCCGCTAGAGCGGAGAACACAACCAAAAATCACCCAGTATACAGTCCAGACAGCCAAGCTGTCGTTCGTTCGTTCGTTCGTTCGCTCTCTCTCTCTCTCTCTCTCTCTCTCTCTCATACGCGCGCGTGCGCACTAACACACACACACAAGCACCACGCAGACTCTCTCTTTCTAATTCGCATAGCAATATCCGTGATATTGCTAGACAGCCCGCTCCCGTCCCAAATTAAACCTGTTACCGACCGCTCCCGCGATTTATTCGGAAATTTATTCCCGCGGCTGTCCCCGCGCCAGATTTCTGCGGCGCGGGAATAAATTTCCGAATAAATCGCGGGAGCAGAACTCTAGCACGGAGCTCCATAAACAAACAGCACGCGTCGCGTTTTTAACGTGACTTTGCACGCGATAAGATCAAATATCCAGTTAACCTGATACAGTACACGCGGTTACAAGTAACAAATCACAACTAAATACATTTGCAAGCAAGAGTAAACGAGGCAACAACTTTAACCGCACGTACTTACACTTGAGAAATGGAAGAAACCCATCCTGACGTCCATCAGTTACTCTTTACTGATCCTTCCTTTAACAAACTCAGATGAAGTATTCTTTGTAGCATGTAGCTTCCAGAAGTTTCCAACTGGTTGGTTATAATGCTGAGGTTTCATCTTTGGGTAGAGACTCAATATATCCATCTGCAGTGTGACT